ATATTGAACTCAAAGCGACACAATTTACTCGAGAGTGGATTTCAACTTCACGACGAAGGATATCTAGCTCGAAGCCAAACTTCACAATAAAGGGGTCTCTACAGTTTCAACTTCACGGCGAAGGGAATTGTGTCCACCCGCAACATACAATACTTGGATTTCAACTTCACGACGAAGGATATTCAAGTCAAGGCTCAACTTCACAACGAAGGGGCCATCTGCGATTTCAACTCCACGACGGAGGATATCGTGGCACTCGAGACAACACAAGTTCAACTTCACAACGAAGGGACGACTGGTTGTCAACAAACAACTTCTCAATTTCAGAGCCAATTTCAACTTCACAACGAAGGATATTGGACTCCAGACAACGCAAGTTCAACTTCACGACGAAGGGACCGCTGCTTGTCAACAACAACTTCTTTATTTCAGAGCCAATTTCAACTTCACAACAAAGGATATTGGACTTCAGACAATGCAAGTTCAACTTCACGACGAAGGGACCGCTTCTTGTCAACAACAACTTCCCAATCTCAGAGCCAATTTCAACTTCACAACGAAGGATATTGGACTCCATACAATGCAAGTTCAACTTCACGACGAAGGGACCGCTGCTTGTCAACAACAACTTCCCAATCTCAGAGCCAATTTCAATTTCACAACGAAGGATATTGGATTCCAGACAACGCAAGTTCAACTTCACGACGAAGGGACCGCTGCTTGTCAACAAAATTTCATTCAGATTCAATTTCAACTTCACAACGAAGGATATTGGACTCGAGACAACACAAGTTCAACTTCACAACGAAGGGACGACTGGTTGTCAACAAATAATTTCCCGGTTCCAGAGCCAATTTCAACTTCACGACGGAGGATATTAGACTTGGAACAATGCTACTTACTTGGATTTCAACTTCACGACGAAGGATATCCAACTCAAAGAAGGATTATTGTCGAGTTCGACTCCATTCAGCTCGATAACACATCAATCGCACTACTTTCCGGTTACAGTCGAGGTTTTCAAGTCGAGAAGAGGACCTGGGTTAGCCGTGCCTTAGTGACAAGCAACCATTTTCAAACAGCATAGCTTAAGTCAAGAAAAAGCTATCTGTCAATGAAGATTTCTGAGTTCGATTACGATCCAAGGTCTTTAAACCGAGAAGAAGACCGAAGGGTAACGGGAAGCCACGTGCTGATTCAAATTCCGAACTACGGCTTTAATTTCATATCATTTCAAGATGAACTCGACTTCACGATGGAGGAGTCATCCGTAACTCAATTCGACAGGGAGTTATTGAAACATCAGAGTTAATTTTTAACTCCACTGAACGAAAAGTGTGTCTTTTAATCTTTGCCCTATCCCCGTTACACGACTATGGGCAAAGAGGGGCAGCTGTCAACACACATTTTTCGTCCTACTAGAATTCAAACTCCTAAAAATAGGATAGAATTTTAGGATTCAAACTCCTAAAAATAGGATAAAATTTTGCTAGGATTCAAACTCCTAAAAATAGGATATAGTTATACTATTATATAAATTCCTAAAGATAGGATCCACAAGCACTATAAATAGCCATTGTAACTCACCATTGTAAGACACGATTTAGACACAAAACATAGAGAAAAGCACAGGAAGATACAAAGGCAAAGCTATTGTAAAGGATTCGAAAAGGAAATAAAAGGTAGCATTTTCTTTTTTCTTTCTTTTGCATGTGCATGTTATTTTTCTTGAGATTTGGTTCAAATAACCCAAAACGTGGGTTGTGCCGATGACCAAAATGGTTGGGGTTTCGAAGTTTCGAACCTAGATCTATCCCGAGGCTTATTTTTAAAAACCGGTTTGATTTTCGGTTAAAGGAGGGGAAGAGCTTTTTAAAAATCTATATTAGTCCCTTTATTTATTATATGGATATTTTATTCATTTATTTTTATTATTCATGTTATTATTATTATATGTATATATATATATATATATATATTAAATTATTTTCATTTGATTTTTTACTATATTTTATTATTATTATTATATATATTTCTTAATATTTTACTTATAAGTCTAATATTACTATATATATATATTGTAATTATCTTTATCTAGTCGTATATATTCTTTATACTTTAATAGTTTTTTATATACATATTATTAAATATATATTCTTAATTACTTTTTTTGATTATTTATTTGTTTATGTAATATATCTTATAATTTTATATATTTATATTATTTTTTATTATTTTCTTTTTTTTTATTCATTATTATTATATTATTATTATTTTTTTAAAAAAAAACCTTGTGTCTTTATTATTATTATTATTAAACATTATATTATATACGACTAACCTAGAGGGTCCATTTTTTGTCTTATTTCTTACTAAAGCCCCCACTTTCGGTGAATTGAGAGGGTATCTTTTCTATTTTTAAGTATTTGGTGTACATATATAGCTTATTTATTTTATTAATACTTTGATATATATATATATATATATATTTATATTTTTCCTTTTTACAAATATTACTATATACAATTATTACTTTACTATTTATTTTCTTATCTTATTTATTTTATTTTTCCCTTGTATCTTATTTGTTTTCTTTACCTTGTTTATCTAACACATTTCTCGATTTTTTTTTCAAATCAATCAAGGGTAAGTAATTAGGATCGAAACTTTACCTTTTAATTTAACTTGTCATTTTTCTTAATTAAGACAACTGGAAATTACGTAGTACCGAAAGGGCGGTTCAAGGGTGCTAATCCTTCCTTGACCGTAATCGACTCCCGAGCCCGACATATTTCTGGTAAGACGCAGATCAGGTAAGAAATAGGGTATCCGATCAACCCATTTATTTTTAAATAAATGATCGGTGGCGACTCCAATCCACATTTTTCAAGTCGAAGCCCAATTTTTGGGGCCCAACCGAAAGACGGTTGCGACAATTATTTAATTTTTTTATTTAATTATTTTATTTGTTTGCAGTTATAAAATGAAAAGTGGTCATTGAATAATTATATTCGAATTTCTCAGCTTTTAAACTTTTCTCTCGGCTATAAATACGCTCTCAACACGTGGATATCTATACTGAAGCGACGACATTCTTCTAGTTTAGAGGATTGATGTGAATGTTTACAAGTTGAGAGCGTATTTACAGCCGAGAGAAAAGTTTAAAAGCCGAGAAATATGAATATAATTATTCAAGGACCACTTTCCATTTTATAACTGCAAAAAAATAAAATAATAATAAAATTAAATAATAAAATAATTAAAAAAATACTAACAAACTATGATTAAATTTATAGAAAGTATTTAAAAATTTGCTAGATCCGTAAAATATTCTTAAATAGTGCTTAACAAGTAATTAATTTATGTTAAGGTGATATTTGTGTAAAAAAGCCAAATTTTTTCATGGATTCTATTAAAGACGCCTAGAGATCCCAATAAATAATCCAAAAATCTGGTTAACCCTGAAGACGCCGAGAGATCCCAAATTTACTGTAGAAAATATCTCATTTGAGGAATTAATCGGATGAACACTTTAATTTGGGAATTAAACATTCCCTGTAGCATTATATGGGAACTTTTGCCAAGTAATAGGAATAGAATAAATAAAGAGTCCAATTGAGATAATATAGTAAATAAAAGGTTTAGTTCCGAATTTCAACTTTATACTTTATAAAAGTTAAAGAAATTAATTCTCATATTTATCACATATAATTATTGAACAACTAATCTTTACTAATTTTTTATTCATAAATTGCTAAAGTGTTGATTTGCAGTTCAGCTATAACATTTAACAGTATCATTCAATTAAACTATTTTTTAATTTTCGTAAAATAAATAAATGAATTTAATAATTAGAATTAAATGAAATGAAAAGAGACATGGGAAGACAGACTTTTATTTTCTCAATCAAAGTGTGGTTGACCGATTAATAGGATTAATTCAAGTGGTAAGCAGTTTAATATCGTTTAAGTGAGTCTTAAGATCGAGTTCTTGTATTTATAGAAAATGTCTGCAGGGATATTCGTCCACCAAAACTAAATATACGACACAAATCTATTCGAATGAGTTAAGACAAAACTCTTAAACCAAGAGAGCAACCAAAAGAAAAAAAAAAGTGTGGCTGACCATATTCCTAGCCAATAAATAACATCACTATTAGGAATGAGCTTTCATTTCATTCTCAATTTGAGGTCATAGGAAAGATAAATGAATAAAATATTCGATAAATTATTTATAAATTATTTAATTAATATTCGTTTATTAAATTAAATAAAGGGTAGAAACAAAATTTTCATATCCATTATATTTTCGGTCCGAAAGCATTTACACCCTAACCACAACTCTCCGTCTGTCACAAATTGAGTTACCCTAATATGGACCGTAATGTTTTAATAACAATTCATGGGAGGTTGGAAGAGCAAAAACAACTCGACTAAGTCAAATCTTCGAAAAGCGAAAGGGCATTTTGGTCTTTCCCGGTTAACTTGCTTGCTACTGGCTTGTTTTATATTTTCCCCTCGCTCAGGTATTTGAACCCGAGAACCCGTGATGATTCACCGGTTTTATCCGGTCAGACATGCATTTACTGGATAAATAAGTTAATAAATGTCAAATTCTATAATTTAATCCTTTTAAATACTCTATTTTTCAAAATATGTATTTTTTATTCACAATGATCAAATTTCCTATTATTTTTATTAAATAATTTGATGTGAATTTTTTAAAAGATAATTATTTATAAGTTGCCTGTTCCAGCTCAGAAGTTTCAAGGATCAAAATACATCATGGTATAATTTTTTATACATAAGAATGAGCTTTATTTTTTTATGTACTAAATTGATAAAAGAATATTTAATTTAGGGTCAAATTCAAATATTGAGCCCATTTTATATTGAATTCCATTCCACTGTTTGTCGCATTAAGTTTCCATTGTTTGTTCCCACTATCTTATTTTCTCCGCTATATATATATATATATATAAACTCTTCTTCATATTTATTAGGGGACGAGAAAATAGAAGAAAAGGTCAAAGCTTCGAGAGGCAATGGTCGATTGATTTTGATTCTTCCTCAACAAGCTTATCGCAAAGAAAAAGCAACAATGGCTGTTTCTCCATGTTCGAGCGGAACCGATCAGAAGAAACACTGGTGGATTACCAATAGAAAGGTAAAACAAAAGGCTTCGTCTTTTATTTTCCCATAGACTTTCGATCTTATTCTTCACTTTTTTTTTCTGAAATGAGATTTCATGCTTTTTTTAATCTATATGCAGCTTGTAGATAGGCACATTAAGGATGCAAGGTACCTTATCTCAACGCAAGAACCAAATGGAATCGCTTCTGCCCTCGTTCTTCTTGATGCAGCTTTGACCCTCTCGCCTCGCTTCGAGATCGCTCTGGAACTCAAAGCGAGATCTCTGCTCTATCTGAGGCGATTCCGGGAAGTTGCCGACATGCTTCAAGATTACATTCCCAGTCTCAAAATGTCAAGTGAGGACTCTGGCTCGGTTTCCTTGGATAACTCGTCTCAACAGTTTTCAAGGGAGCGAGTCGAGCTTCTCGCTTCTAGTAACTTGTCCTCTGACTCATTTGGTCTTGACCCATCTTTCAAGTGTTTCTCTGTCTCGGACTTGAAGAAGAAAATCATGGCTGGGTTGGGTAGAAATTGCGAGAAAGAAGGGCAATGGAGGTAAAAAAAAAACCACTTGTGTGTTTTGGGTTATACCTTGTCTTTTGTTTTTATTTTCCGTTGGGTTTTTGATGAAATAGTTAAGTACAGAACACTGGCATGCTTTGGATATACTCTAATAATTAGGTACTTAAGCGCACCTAAGTAATTTTATTCACGATTTTGATATCAGGTACTTGGTTCTAGGCCAAGCATGTTGTCACCTAGGCTTAATGGAGGACGCCATGGTACTACTCCAAACAGGCAAGCGCCTCGCCTCGGCCGCATTCCGCCGTGAAAGCATTTGCTGGTCCGATGACAATTTCTCCCTCCCTGCCATTGTCACCACATCGGGTATCTCCTCTGCTGTCACGACTCCTCCACGCAATGTCCGCTCTGTTTCCCCGTCCGAAAACATTTCCCACCTTCTATCCCACATCAAGCTCCTCATCCGCCGTCGAACCGCGGCTATCGCCGCCTTGGATGCTGGTCTACACTCCGAGGCAATCCGACATTTCTCCAAGATCGTTGATGGTCGCCGCCCTGCCCCTCAGGGCTTCCTTGCAGAGTGTTACTTGCATCGAGCCACTGCCTACAGGGCCGCAGGTCGCATAGCCGAGTCAATCTCCGACTGCAACAAGACCCATGCTCTGGACCCTACTTCCATTCAAGCGCTTGAAACCAGGGCCTCCCTTTTGGAAACCATACATTGTTTGCCCGACTGTTTACACGACCTTGAACACTTGAAACTCCTTTACAATTCCATCTTGCGAGATAGGAAGCTACCAGGTCCTACCTGGAAGCGTCACAACGTAAGGTACAGGGAGATTCCGGGGAAGCTTTGCGCGTTAACGGCTAAAATTCAACGATTGAAGCAAAGGGTGGCTTCTGGGGAGACTGCAAATGTTGATTACTATGCATTAATTGGTCTGAAACGTGGGTGCTCGAGGTCTGAATTAGAGCGTGCACATTTGCTGTTATGTTTAAGGCACATGCCGGATAAAGCTATCAACTTCATCGACAGATGCGAGTTGGCCGATGAGCACGATCTCGACTCGATTAAAGATAGAGCCAAGATGTCGGCTTTGCTTCTTTACAGATTGCTTCAAAAGGGGTATTCGAACGTGATGTCTACTATTATGGATGAAGAAGCGGCTGAAAAACAAAGGAAGAAAGCTGCGGCTGCTTTACAAGCTGCACAGGCTGCAATTCAAGTGCAGCAAACCCAGTATTCTACAAATTCATCAGATTTTTCAGCTTGCAATGACACGGTTAATTCGATTGAAAACAAAACAACAACAAGCATTTCCAATTCAAATGCGTTTCAAGGTGTATTTTGCAGGGATCTTGCTGCAGCTGGGAACCTGCTATCACAAGTCGGGTTTAATCGTCCAATTTCAGTGAATTATGAGGCACTGAGCTGCTGAATATTGCCTGGAAATAAATGACGGATCATTTATAAATAGCTTCTCGTAATGTTTCCCGGTAGAGTACATTTTCTCAGTTTGTAAAGAAAAGATCCATTTTTTCTCTGCCGGAAAATTTTGTCATCCCTACTACATGTACAGTATTTTTCATTATTGAATATCTACATTTCTGCATATCACCAAACCAAATATTTCTCATCATGACAAAACACACCTCACTTTCACTCCAAAATTTCCATGAAATCTGTGAAACCACATGACGTAGCACCAACTATTCATTATACGAACAAATACCTCAGCATTTTTTTATAAAGTCTAAAATAATTGAAATCAGAATCTGATTCGGGTGCAAGAAAGTGGGGAATAAAATGAAGGTGCCAATCTATCTCTTTCTCTTTAAGATTTGAAAACTGGGAAAAGTATGAATTCATAAATAATCTACTTTATCCGTCATATTTATTTCATTAATTATATATAATACTTGTGTTTCACCCAAAGCGTTTTTCTTTTCTGTATTCTTGTGGCTGAAGAAAAGGGAAAGTTTTGCATCAAATCTTTGAAGTCACCATATTATATATAATAATAATATTGTATTTATAGAACAATGCTCCAAAAGCCCTTAAAACTAGAGAATTAGTAGTAGTGTTTGTGATGTAGCATAGGAAAGTAGAATTAGTATTTCGAGGTTAGAATGAGGATTAAAGAATGTGATTAAGAGAAGAATTAAAGAACACGTGAGGTGGTGTTTGAATGTCGGGAACATCGGAAAGTGGAGAAGTGGTGGCCAGATACGATGATGTCAGTGACAGACAAGCTAATCTAACCTTAACCCATACCCCATGTGGTGCAATCATGTGATTTTTAAGAATCCATTACCCCTCTTAGCCTTTACCTATTGTTAGCGTAAATTATATAAATACTATCCAATGCCTCGGGGTATGATTATATGCAAGTTGATAGTCAAAACATGCATTTTCTTTGAACTTGAGATGGGAAAAAGAAAGAAACAAAAGTGTTTTCAAATGTTACGACGGCTGAATGAGTTTATTCTTTAATGCTTGAACTTCGGTACCCTTGGCATTGATTAAGTGGTTGTCTTTGCATTTTAGTAGTCATGGCATCGTTACTTTATTTCTAATGCTTGAAATTCAATCCTTAGTTTGAGATCATACAGGCGGAAGTTCAGGAATCAGAAATATTAACCATTGATGTGAAGCCAAGGTAAAAGAAAGAAACGAAGAAGATAACATTTCCGAATAAAGGAAATGAGAAGCCAAATCTGCTTCCGGCAGACCCTGTATTTGTTATCGATGAGAAGCCTCGTGACTTTTACAAAAGAGATGGCAACAAGAGAAACTGAAACGAGCTCTACTGCGGGTGAAGTAGGACTATCTCATATGCACAACACGAGCCATTGTTCAGGAATATCTGACTTGATGAAACATTACAAACACTCGGGATTTATTATTTGATTAGTAACTATATAGGGTGAGTGATTATTCAGATATCCCACATTATCTGAGTACATATATAGTTTTATTTGATCCATTTCAGTTAACATTTACATGTTCTGATACTCTAGGGATTGATGTAACATGTAAGTATGGAAATTAAATCAATTATGATACTATATGTAAAATTCATTTCTATGAGATTGACTATGAGATCCTTACTAACTTTCCTAATTACCTTAATCTAAGAGAAATTATTCTACGAATCCTTTTCACCACGTCATTTATGATCCCTATTAATGAAAATAATCCATATCATTAATTTATTTTCCATGTCATTCATATATTAATATTATACTTTCCATACATCATCTTCTTCGATAATACATAGCGAAACTGATTATAAGAAAAATAGTAGTACAAAGAACAGTAAGCTAATTCTGATGTTAAAATAAAAATTTAAAAAACAAATTAATAGAGACTTTTAATAACTTAAAATCTCAAACGAAACCTCCGAATGACAAAAACCATAACAATACAAAAGAAAACATCAGTCTTTCTCTTTCAAACAAAGAAAAATCTTTGTTTGAAGATCAACTCTTTGTGCTCTGATGATTTGACAAGTCTGAAATCTCAAACCTTTTAATACCTTTGAATTACATTACAAACCCCGAAATATAGCAATAATATAATCATCTTCTCAAACCCAAATCATCTAATCTCACAAATTACACTACCAACACCACAGATAGTTCGAAGAAGAAAGCCACCAAAAAGGGGCACTTGATTTCATCTTAGCATCATAGAAACAACTGCTAATGGACGGACTTGGTTTCATCTCCTGTTATGTGGACTGTGGTTATTATATGTAAAAATAATAGAAATGACGAAAATAATAAATATGGAGAGGGAGAATGAATTGACTAACAATTTTATTAACTGCAGAAATTTTCTTCATTTTTTTCATTTAAAGATTTTGTTTGAGATTTAGGTTATTAAGAGTCCTTATTAATTCGTCCTTTTTTTACTTTGATATCAGAATCAATTTACAGTCTTACTTTCCATTATTTTTCTTATAACCAATTTTTATGTATTATTGGAGAAGATGATGATTTGGAAAGTACAATATTAATACATGATATGGATTTTTTTAATTAACAGGAATTATAGATGACGTCTCAATAGGGTCTATAGAATAATTTCTCCCTATCTTAATTCTCCAGTAAAAATATCTTTTAAAATTTACCGTTAAAAATATATTTTGAAACAAAAATATGTTTTAAATCAACTTTTCAAAAAGTTTAAAAATTGAGTATAAGATTTTTTTTTCATTTTGGTTATTAGAAAAAATGAGGTCAAATTATGCATAATTATAAAAATTATTACAAAGTTTGTCAACTTGTTCCAACTTTTTTAAGCAATTATTTATATAAATCGTTAAATTTTTTGACAAATTCTATAACTTATATAAATTTTATAATGATTATATATAAAGTTAGAAAAAAATTTTATTTTTGGTTCTGGAAGGAAATAAAATAGCATTATACGTATTTACAGAAAGCATTACAATTTTTTTTAATTCTTTTCTATAATTTCTACAATATTTTACGTATTTATGAAAATTGTTAAAAGTCTATGATTATTTTTATAATTTCTCTAACTTTCTATCGTAATTACTAAAAATTAAAAGATTTATCATTTTAATTATTTGAGAAAATACGATCAAATTACGTGTAATTGCGATTTTTTATAATTTTTTTTACAAACTAATAAAATTTGTAATTTTTATAGTAGTTAGGCAATGAGTTATTAAAACTTTTCATTTTGATTATTTGAGAAAATGTTAAAACAGTATGTACAGTAGAGATAAACAAAATTCGACTTGAAAAATAGATTTTTTTGACTTGATTCGATTAGAAAAAACTCGACTCGAATTGTCTCGATTCATAATTTTATAACTTTACCTAACTCAAATCATTCAAAATTTTCAAGTAATTCATGGATTGATTTTCAAGTTTGAGTCAAGTCCCTCTAGAGAAGTTCAAACTTCGGTTTTAACCGAATTAATCGACCGGATCAAAGTTTTTTTGGGTTAATCGATCGGTTAATTTTAGGTTCAGTCAGTTAACGATTAATGATTTTTTCAAACTTCAGTGATTAGTTAATTCGGTTCTAAATCAATTAATTAACTCACTTAATCAAAATTATAAAATATTTAATATATTTAATATATCATTTATATATTACTTAGCGTTAGGAGTGTTTAAATTTCGATTTTAACCGAATTAACTGACCGAATTAATAAAAAATATAATATATATATATATATATATTATTTATTTATAAATTTTGATTAATTTTGTTAACCAACCAAAAAAATTTGATTTGATTAATAATTAAAGGGGGGAAATTCGGTTAATGAATTTTAGGTAGTTCGGTTCGGTTGGTTAATCAAACCGACCGATTGAACACCCCCTAAGTCCCTCAACTCTGATTGTTATATGTATATCACATACGAAAAAAATATAAAGAAATATATATGTATTGTGTATGGTTATAGAAAACTATTTAACTTGGAATCAAATAGTATCATAATATGAAAAATATTTATAATTAAATTTAAATAGAAGCTCAAAAAAGTTTCAAATAAAGTTTGAGTTATAAAATAAAACTCGTCAACTTAAATAACTCAAAATTTTTTGACCCGACCCGACTCGATCGAATGCACACCCCTAATTAGAAAAGTTTCATTTTTTTTATATTTTTATTATAATTATGTAAATTATAATAAAGTCTGAATATTTGATGTAACATTCTAACTAAATGTGTAATTATTCAAACATTTCACATAATGACCAACAATCTATGAGCATGTCATACATTTAATTAACCTTAATTTAAAGAAGTCAACTCCACCAACTACAACCATGGAAGGTCTATAAGTTGACATTTTGCCCTTCAATCCCACATCTCAGAACAGAAACCCCCAACCATTTTTCTTCACTGCACATTCTAGTAAAATCGGGACATGGCTTGGATTACACGGTTCTCCACGGCGGTGGCTTTCTTATCCGTCGGAGTGCTATTCTCGCCGGAGGCCTTTGGATCTAATTCCGACGGCTCAATTTCACCCCTCCTCTCTACTTCCATCAAGCTAGCTCATCTCCTCTGCTTCGCAACCGCATGGGGTGTCTCCCTCTGGGTCATTTTCATCGGCGGTACCATCATGTTCAAGTACGTCTTGTCTTATTTTCACTCCTTGATTGATCCCGTATTAATTGTTCCAAGATTTAATTAATCTGGTCTTTGCTTTAATTTTACTTAGACATCTGCCGAGGCATCAATTTGGTAATCTACAAAGCAAGATGTTCCCGGCTTATTTCTCGTTGGTTGGCGTTTGTTGTGCCATAGCGGCGGCTGCGTTTGGTTACACGCATCCGTGGAAGTCGGCCACCACTGCGGAGAAGTACCAGCTTGGCTTTTTAGTCTCTGCTTTTTCTTTTAGTCTCATAAATTTGTTCGTTTTTACTCCCATGACCCTTGAGGTAATTTCCTTTAGCTTGTCCATTTCCCGTAGATCATAGAAATTCGAATCCTTTGCTCTTATGTTAACAAATGAACATCTCTGAAATTTTGTCCATTATGAAAAATTCAATTGATTGGATGCTAGAGTTAATTGCATAAGATTTTTTTTTGTCTTGGTATATGATCTCTAAGCAACCATGAAAGTAAATTAGTTTGGTTTTTAGTGGATAGAATCAGCTACGTGATTTTATGTTAAGGGTTGAACTTTTAAAATTGTAAGAGGGGATATAAAAGTTTAGTGAGGCAAAAACAGATTATTAATAGAAAATATAAAATAAATAAATTCTTGGGAGCAAAAATAGATTATCAGCAGACGCTCCCACGGTCCATCCGTGGACTGAATGCTCTGCATTTATGAGTATAGTCCCGAGTTGATATCTGGTGTGAATATGATAATGCAGATGATGAAGCTGAGACACCAAGTGGAGAGAGAACAGAATATTGGTGATGAAGTGGGAGGATCAAAGAATGAGGAAGCTGCCAAGACTAATCCAAGGCTTGCAGCCGTGAACAAGAGATTCGGAATGATTCATGGCTTATCTTCGCTTGCCAACCTTATGTCCTTTGGCTGTGTGGCTATGCACTCATGGTACTTAGCCGGTAAGCTCAATCTGTAGCCTGCATTTCATTTCCACATGGCATGGAAAATCCCACTTCACCGGATACTTGCGTGTTTTTCTTGTGTTCCTTCCAGAACTATGTTAAATCGAAATACACGTCCAGAAAACGAGTTTGAATCGTTAGCTCTCTGGAAATTAATAAGCCAATTTGGCTAATCATTCGTGTGACAGTGTTTCTTTAGAGCAATGCAATGGAACCCTTTCCTGCTGTTCTGCTGCAGATTATATACTTATGAAGCATAACAGCTTTGCATTCTGCAATTCTGTTTGAGTTCATCATGAATCGGTTCGCGGTAGGATGATGTTACAAATTCATTTTTCAACCTATATACTTCATCATATTCTAGACGGATTTTTACCTCCAACATTTTATTCTTCAAGTATTTGCTGGTTTTGTAGTTAGGGATTTATAAATGTTTCATCTTCACAAAAGAGCAAATATTCTTTTTTTTAAAGAAAAAAAATTAAAATACTAATCTTGAAAGAAAATCATAAATATCAGTCTAAACCAAATTTAGATAACAAATACTAGTATATCAGTTCTTTGAAAAATAACAGGATTAAAGTATGATCTACAACTGAAATTATAATCAATACAACTGTTAAACTATAACCAGAATGAATACATAAAAACTTATATCATAATAATTTTGAATTAACTCGCAACTTAAACCAAAATCAATACACTTAAATTTAGATTGAAATAACTTTAAATTAACTCGTATATAAAGAAATTTAAATCAGAATAAAGATGACCATCCCTTTTCAACAACATCCGGAGAGAAATAAATGGACTTTAAATCAGGCAATAAATGGCAGACCAACTACGAGAGAACCTGTAAAAACATAGATGGAGAGTGAAACGATTAGCTTTAAGGATCTAGACAAAAAAAAAGTGCACCGAGTAATACACAAACCACAACGTGGAATGATCATGAAAAATTATATGTAGTTCAAACCACTTTGGAATCATTTCCCAACAGAGAGAAGACAGTATTTCAACCGTTAACCATAGTAGAACCTATTAAGTGGTATCAATGGTTAAAAAGAGTTCCTTTTTTTTTTAAATTCTGAGTTCGAACAGCTACGTTTATAGTATGTGTTATCAAAGATTAAAAAATATTCTGAACGAATACCGACTTTTAATCAACTTTTAGACTATTTAAAAATAAAAACCGGTAACAATTATAGTGGTTAACAGAGCCTACTCAATTTGCACTTTTTCTTGCTTTCCAACCACAATCTCTGCGCATTAACAGCCCCACCCTTGATACAATCTTGAGTCACATCCATGATTTTGACATTTATGTATTTGCAATATGGTCCATGCCCCACTTCCCAGCTTCCTTCACTCATTTAAAATAACTTATAGCCATGGAAGTCCACACGTAACCTTGTGTTCATGTGGTTTGTCGATTTCTGGGAATCTTTCGTTACATCAATTCGGATCAAAGTTCCCCAGACCAAGAAGAAAAAGAAAAATAATCTAACAGAGGATCTTTCTTTCACGTTTCAATTACAATATCTCCGGGCCAAGACAAGCTCAAAAGGCAACACATTGACTATCATTTTCACTAACCATTATTGAAGAAAAAAAATCAAGTGTTCTCGTAATTCAACGTATAAACAATTCTCTCTGCTTTCTTTTCATCTGCTATCATTAACATGAAAGAACAAGCATGAACAAACTAAGTTCAAATTTCCTTTTCTAAATCAACAATGAATTAAACAATTGCCTGCATAATATTTCCTCCTAAGAAGCAATTGTTGGCCAATCAAACAAATATACCATAGCTCAGCGGAAACCGATGACATGGTATGCACCCAAGAGTAACAGCTTGGCTGGGAACAAAAGGATCACTAGCAAATGCATGTGGCCTGATGCGACGAGCTTACCGAACCGTTTCAACGATGCTCTCCCGGATTGTAAAACGCTGGCCAGGTTGAATAGTTCTTGGCCAGAACCGATTGTTACCATGGCCCCCTCGAGAATGATACTTGAATTAATGCTGCTAGGAAACACAACGGACCACCCGTCCTTGCGACGTTGCTCTCTTTTTTTTTTCCTGATGCGGTTTTGCTCTTGACGGATCACATTTCGAATAGATTTCAAGTAAGATTTCATGTCATGATCTCTTAGGATTGTTCCTTCGGAACCATATGCACTACGATCACTTAAGATGTCTAGCGGATGTGGTGAGTTGAAGAAAATTCTCAGTGCTGCCCGGAACAGCTTCTCTTCATCATCTTTATTTGACAATGGACAGCTTAGGAAATATAGACCGGTTCCTGAAGGAAGGAGATGATGATGTGGAGAGAATTTCTCATCTGGTTGTAAAATCAGAAGTTGCCCCATTGGTGCATACAATATCTTCTGTAGTAAAAACAAAGATCAATGTCCATGTTCTAATTAAGTTGCATATTTGACCTTTGAAAATGCAGAAACATTACTTGATTATTGAGACAAGGATGGTGGCGAAGTTTTCCATTAATAGCCTTTAAAAGCTCCGCAACATGGTCAGGAAAATCGCAAGAGAAGGCTCGGGGAACAATGTCTCTGTGCATCGTAATTGCTTGAACATGACTTTGTGGTAACCCGAGTTGGCGAAAAAGACGGTCACCCCCACACATGATGCTTGGAGATCCAAACATTATAATCGGAAGTAAAGAAGAAGCTGGCACTTCGCCTCTTATCAGCAACATGAGGCTTACCAATAGTGACAAGCTGCCACCGAGAGAGTGCCCGGTGAAGCGGAAAGTTGCACGATTGCCATAACATTTTAAGTGGGAACGGACTTCAGGCAGCATCTGCTCATAAATACCTTTAGAAGCCTCATATATACCTCGATGCACAAGAACATCCAGTCCCTACACATTAATACAGGAAAAAAATACATTTGTCGCTGTCCTCTGCTATATTAACTAATATCAAAAACAGAGGTTGAGCGTTCCTGATTGTCATCTAAAGAAGTTAATATGTAAATAGACATCTGATGCAGGTTCAATCAGCATCTTATACATTTAAAAATCCGGAAAAAGTCTGATAAAAGATTAACAAGCAGCAAATCAAGAAACTACCTCAAATTGAATAGGCTCAAAAAGTAGATTGGCCTGCCAAGATGCCAATGACCCAGATCCCTACATATACACATCATAATTAGTTCAAAATCTAAAGTCACACCCAAAATGCTAATTGAATCAGTCTAATCAACTATATATGTCTGCAACTCTTATATAAGAGAGCATGTACTATTACCTTGTTACCATATGTTCAAAGAACAATGGAAGTAAAGTATGGGTGATGTTATCTACCTGAATCACAAATAATCTTGTAGTACTCTGATCATCATCACATATAAACCACTCACAAGGCAATGAATGTGTCGAGTTCAAATCATCCGCAACAGCCTGCTTCACTTCTTCCTTAGCAGCAACCACAGCAGTCACGGAGTCCGTTGTTGCCATTAAAGAGGCCACATCAGAGTTTATCATATCGGAACCATCTTGAGACAACCCCTTAATGCTTTCAGGATTCGACGATTTGAATGGAAGTATGGTCCTTGTATGCGACTGCAAATAAGAAGCAGCCGAGGCAGCTATCTGATATGCAGCAGAGGCACTAATCCGGTGCCCAATATTTTTCTGTTCATGGCCTGCTGCATCACCCTTTTTATTCCTTTGTTCCTCTTGATTTTCAGAGGACACAACGATTTGTTCATGATTTTTCTCGACTTTCATTGCCGATTCTCTCTTCTCTATTGATGAAGTTACCAAACGCAAACCATGAACTCTTAGGAGACTTTCAGGCTGAATTTTCATCCCAAATGTGAACAAGGAAAAAGACCATGTTATTGTTCTTCATAGTAAAAAATTAGAACTACTAATGTCAACAAATTTCTGGGTTCATTACCTTAATCTTGGGAATCATATAAGCCAAGCATCCAAGGTATGACATTTGAGCGTACAACTTAGCGTCAGCTAACGACACCCTTTTTAGCATCTTGGAAAACGAATGTTTATCCATTTCAATTTTCTTCATTTCATTTTCATCATCATCGTCATCGTCACAAACACAGCAAAATTCACAGATTTCTTCATCCTCATTAACGTCTCCGTTTTCGTTGTTTTCTTCTTCAGATTCCCCTTCTTTACCAACGCTCTTTTTCCCTTCTTCGTCGTTTTCTCTCCACAACGCCTTCACGTCCAAAATCTTCATGACCCAATTCCCATTTTGCCCTTCCGACGTCCCGTTCATTTCCCCGACATTCCCGTTCCCCGCGTTTACTTTTTCCTCCTCTCCGTTATCACCCACCAACAAAACCGTATCGTCAACAGCCATCCCGTTGTGCCTCGTGTCATTTCCAGCTCCGGGCCACAAAGATTTCAAACGGCAACGGCACGACAACCTGGAAAGCGCTGTCGATTTATTATTATCCACAAAAGATCGCGCCACCGCACTCACTTGCGAGGCGTTGGTCCTGTTTTTCAATGGCCCAATGACGGAGATCGCAGGTGGCATCCCATGAATCCCCGTTTTCAAACAAAGCCCATCCATTTTTCGGTTCCTCTGGATTAACAATTTGCTCGTCGAGGCTTCTTTTTTTAGCTTCTATCCAAATATTCGAATAAAAATCTAAAAAATACAAGGCGGCAGCAATGGCGGGAAGCAAGGCGTTAAGGCCGTTATAACATAATCAAACAAACAGCTCCTCTATCTCTGTTTCTTCAACCCATATTCTCGTTTTAAGATCTTTTATCGAAATTCTATATAGGATAAATTATCAAAATGGTCATTTTCATTGTATAAGTGTTCACTCTTGGCTATTGAATTTTAAAAAGAAGATGTTTTGATCATATTTTGATCACTAGAATGTTAAATGTTATTCATTCCACAATAATTCCTAATTTTATAGTATCTCAGAACAAGCTGAAGCTCCACTAGTGTGGCCCGTGGTATTGTTGTTGGCCGGATTTAAGGATTAAAATTATATTGATATTTTATGTAATGTTTAAAAGTTTAATTGATATTTTTATGTAAATTTTAAGAGTCGAGTTATTATTATATTTAAAGCATATAGATTAATTAAAAATCAAACTCATTTACTAACTATTATTTCATTAAAATAATAATATCTTATGCCTCATCGAATAAAATGTTATAAAACGATAATGTAAATGATTAAAATATTTTTGAAATTTAATGACCAAAAGTGAATACATGTATAAAACAAAAGTGATTATTTTGGTAGTTTATCCCTTCTCTCTATATGAAGAGAAAAGAGGTTGTAAATAGGCGGAAGAAAGGTTATAAAATACAAATTCCTGTAAACAGCAGCAGGTCGATCACCTACTTACCATGACCATCATCATTTATTAAAAGGAAATCCATCGGATAATAAATTATAGGATAAACCACATGTTTAATAACTAAACTATTGATTTTGTTTCATTTTAGTACCTTAATTTTTATTTATTTTAAAAGCATACCTAATATTTTCTTTTTGTTTCGTTTTAGTATCTCACCATTAGAAACTTAGTGAAACGTTTAGTATCTCACCATTAAAACTTAGTGAAACTGTTACAACATGTTACTTTTTTATGGGTAAATTACATCATTCATCATTTAACTATCTTCTCACTCTTATTTTGGTCACTGATGTTTAATTTTTTTAATTTAATTACTTAACTTTTAAATTAATCCTAATTTAATCACTATATTTTTCAAATTCAATTTTTTTATTCAATTATATATTAATAAAATGATAACAATAAATTTCATGTTACAAAAATTATTAATAAAATAAATTATAGTGATTAAAACATGAGAAATTTGAAAGTTGGGTAGATAAATTAAAAAATTAAACTTTAGTGACTAAAATAAGAATGAGAATATAATTAAATATGAATGGTGTAATTTACTCATAAAAATATAGCGTGCGGCAGTTCTATTTGTAAATTATCCATGGAAGAAAAGTATACAATCTTTTTATTTTCCTACTCTATACTTTAATTAATAGTTTACAGTGGAGAGCATCACCCCCTTTTATTTCTTATCTCTTCCTCTTCCTCTTCCTCTTCGTGTTCCTTTTTCTTTTTCTTTTGTTCTTCTTTTTCCGTGAAAAACTCTAAGGGTGTATTTGGTTCAAGGAATATAAGATTATCAGTGGGAATAAAAGATTACCAGGGAATAAGATTACTGGGAATGTTGTATTTTGTATTTTGTTGGTTTAGCAGGAATGTAAGATTACCGTATTTGGTTGGTTTAGCAGGAATGTAAGATTATCGTGTTTGGTTAAAGGAATAAAATATTATTGGAATGTATATTTGACCAAATTGTTCTTATTATATATTTGTATAATATTACAAGTTGAAAAATATTTATATATTTTCTTTAAAAAAATTAAATTCATAAAATTTATATAATTTTTTTACAAAATTAAAAATATAAAAAAGGTTTAATGAAAGGGTAAAATTTTATTTTAACCCCTGAACTTCATCTAAAATTTTAATTATAGATATTTTTTTTGTAAATCTAAAATAGTATAAGGATAAATTTGTAATTTAACCTTCGTAGAATTTTTATTATTCAATGAAAGAAGAAATATATTTTTGAAAAAAAAAATTAAAGGCATTTTAGTCCAAAACGCCGGTAATATTACAATACATAAGGGAAGGGAGGTAATGACATTCCCAGTAATATACCCAAAAAACCAAACGGGGGAATGCGGATTCCATTCCCGAGAGAATCCCACATTCCCCCATCCAAACGACCCCTAAGAAAATATTTTCCAGTGATTTGCATATGTGGCTGATGGATCGGAGTGTGATTCGCATCTAATATAAACATTTCTATTTTTTAATTGCAATATATCAACAAAATTGTTATTGAAGTATTATCATTATTTTTAAAATAAAAATTAATTTTTATACGAAAAATATATTAATTATAAAAATTAATAATTATTTAGAATTAAATAGTATTCAAAATATTATATATGAAACACCTAAAACTATAATAAATAATTAAATAAATTTTATTAAATGAAATATCAAAACTTACCAAAGATTTAAAGTGCTAACACATTATTTCTTTCTCTCTTTACATAACAAAAATAAGAGAGTATATTTTAGAAGGGGATGGACAGGCGGGTTAGTGTTTTTTTATTTTTATTTTTGTCAGACGTATATTTTAGAAGGCACTTGATAAATTATGTTTTTACGCTGCATGATAAAAATGGATGGCACTCCAAAAAGTTAATTAAAAACTCTACCCTTTCATTATTTATTTATTTATTAAATAACCGAAATATATTTTCCCAGAGTAGAAAGTTGGTATTAGGTAGGAATTATTACGAGTTAATACGAATTGATTGATTTTGTTAAGTGCCGCTAACCAAACAATTAAATTTAAAAAAATAGGTAGTGTAGTGTACCCACATCAAACTTCTCTCTTTACGTGGTGGTTGATAAAATTATAAAACTTTAAAATATAATTTGTTAATACAAGGTTATAATATTATAAACATCGATTGTAATTGAAAATTTAGTATCGATTGTAATTGAAAATTTAGTAAGAGTGTAACTTTTTAGATTGGATAGAGCAACACTTTCGGTTATAACTGAAAATATTATATTTTTCATAACATTTTTGGTTGTAAGTCCTTAATACGATTGATTTTTAAATGAACTTAACTTAGATTATATAACTTTTCGGTTGAGCAAAAAATATTACAATTTTGCATAACTTTTTGAGTTGAATATGATAACATTTTAAATTAAGAATCGTCTTAAATTGAACTGTCGTATAACAAAACTACCAATAAAATCACTTATTTAACTCCTTCCTGTAAAACAAAGGAATTACAATTACATTCGCATTGCCCATTTGTTTATATATTATTACAATCCCATTAACAGAATATTAATTATCGTTTGGTTGAATCATCAAAGCTGGAAGCTAATGGTAGGGAGGATGGGAGTTTGGGGTAGTAGAGAGTCGACCCCAAAACATATCTTTTGCTTCAAGGTGACGAAAGTCACATCAATTAAGGGGTTATTTTAATATTATTTTTAAAATGTTCAGTCTAAAACTATTCTTACAAAGTGATTTTAAATTTTTTTATTTAAGACTGTGTTTAATAGAAATGTTAAAATGTTTTTTTAAGACAAATAATTATTTTAAACATATTCTTGTAAGTTAAAAAATATATTTAAATAATATTTGAATTTTTTAATACTATAATATATAAGAATAGTAATTTAAACATAATAACAGTAGAGATGCATTAATTGGTCAAGAATATTGATATTGCTTCACTTTGTATTTGTTTGAACCTCACGATTCACTTTGTATTTTTGGAAAATAATTTTTTATGAATAATTAACAAGATAGTACATCAATAAATTTGAAGACTATTCATTAATTATTTTAATAAAAAATATTATCTTAGTTTAAAAAAAATAAAAGTGCATGTAAATTTTTAACATGAAATGATAATAATATATATATATATTGTAATAATAACAATAATAGTAATATAGTAAATAGTAATAATGATAAATAAACAAACATGTTAAAGACTTGATTGCAAGAACAAATAAATTAAAAGGGTAAAAGAGTAAGTAAACCATGCAATCGGGATCAAATTGACTAAACTATAAAAGAGGATAGGTAAAAAATACAATTGACCCCAAAGTTTCAGGAACATGCAGATTCGGCGTAGCCTATATGATGATAGAGGGTGATGGTGACAATAAGTGCTAGCATTTTTTTTTTACTGAACGTGATTCCTGTTTAGTGCGTCTCCCAATGTCCCCTCCAATATGTCTCCAACCTTCTTCTAGGAATATTTTTAGGGTTAAAATAAAGTTTTAGATGGGTTTTTAGAGTGGCAAAAATTTGAGAGATGTATGAGTTGAGAGTTTTGACCCATACAAAGTTTGGTTAAGTTTTCTCTCGTCCATGTAATTTTTCGGGATGTATAGGCCATGTGACCATATATATTCATGAAACTATATGGAAATGGTGAACCTAGGCAGGTCATGAGTATGACACCATACGATACAAAAATAAAATAAAGAATTTAGATGCACGTATGACAAATATGATAACAATATATTATAAAAAAATTAAACATTAACATGTAAATAGCTTTTAAAACTTTAATATTTACCCAGGTCTACATGTGTCCGACACTCTCATAATAGAAGTATATGGTAGTAAATAAAAAAGAAAATCGAAACTCAGGCCTGCTAGATACATACTAAATGCCGCATTTATTTTTTTTTGAATACATACAGTCTCTACAATTTGGTAGATAGTTTAACGTATTACAGCGCAAGGACATATTGTTAAGGAGGGAGGAAATAGAAGAAAAAAAAAGGGGAGGGAAGAAAAATCAGTAACTCTTCAGGCTCTCCTAGTTTATACGTTGAAGGAAATCTCGTATGCACTATTCCTACCCAAGAAGTTGTTTGATTTTGGACTTCTGGTCTACACTCAGAGATGTTGGGAATAAAACATCATATGTAACATACAGATTACCTTTCTTTTTACTAAAATGCAATGGCATTCCTTCTCCCTTGAATTCTCTCACCTCCTTGGGCTTAGTGATACCCTGTATTTGCCAAATACAATTTCATTTTCCCTAAATATAAATTCTAATATTGTTGTTCGTATGGGCGGAGCGCTGCTACGTACTTGTTTGATCAAAACAAACATAGGAATCCGGATATGTCATGCTTACCTTGGAGCCAATGTCCACTGAATGGTCATCAAGATGTTTAATGGTCTTCTCAAAACCAACAAGAGCTTCAACCTGGTGCAAGTCAAGTTCAAATGAAAAGTTCCCACATAGTTTCCATTTCAAAAGAAGGTAAAGATGAAAGGTGGATACATCATATACAGATACCATAAAAAATGACTTACAAGTGTTATAGTAACATTGGTGTGCAAGTCATTGCCTTCCCTTCTGAAATGGTCATGGGGTGCAGTGCGAATGAGGAACTGTAGAAAATGTAATAGCAAATTCCAATATATTCACCAAGAATAACAAATTCCAATATACTAACTGAAAGATTGCCTAGGATTATGGATTGAACAATAATTCATTGATCTGGCAAAATATGCAACTGTATGTAACAATATAACTGGAAGACGGACAGGAATTTCTGGAAATCATTATTTTCAGAATTCAGACTAACCTTCAAATCTCCGGGTTCTCCATCTATTATAGGTTCACCATCTTCATAAAATACTACCTCCTGTAAAATGCAAGGAGAACATTTTTCCAAATCCAACAACAAGAACGATTAGCTTACAATTCCACTCCTACAGTGTAGTGTAAATATAAAAGAGAATGAAAATCATAACATCCCACAGATGTTGTAGGATAAGAAATTTTGACAAAACTGTCAAGTTGAACAAATCTGCATAAAAAAAGGTGTTCCATTTTGCACATGACATTAATGAATCCTAGAGAGAATTACAAAAGTACAAAATAAGTAAACACACCCTGCTACTGTGTAAACTGTTATTTTTTATTGCTTATTAATGTGTTTAAGAAATCATGAAAGCACCTATATCAGGAGATTAGCAGAAAAAGGAAAGGAGAGTCCTGAAGTTCAGATTTAAAATGTTGAAAGAAAAATGAAACACAAAAAGTATGAAGCTACTATTAACAGTTCGTGAACTTTTTATCTCACATAACAATTTATCCTCTTTCACTTTCCTTAGGCTTTAAGCATGAGTATAATTTTGAACATTATCTAGGAAAACTGCAGTCACAAAAAAGTCTAATTCCACATACTTACTTGTCCATCTTGCATTCCTTTCTCAATATCAACTGTGAGAGTATAACCCTCTCGCTCATATTGGACATTTTGGCACTGCTCACAAACCTGAGAAAAGAAAATTGAAGAATGACAATAAAATCAAAAACTAGATCAAAGCAACAAAATACATAACAATTCTGACACTATAAAAGGCTCAGGAAACAAGATATAGGATATAATAATAGTATGAAACTTAATGTCACAGAAAAAGAAAAAGAAAAAAGACATAATACCTGCTCAGTCATTTGTTGGAACATCCCTGGACCAATTTGCCTATGATAAACCTCATTTCTGCAGTTACAGCGTCGTTTACCAGGAGCTGGCTTTAAGATATTTTTCTCCCTCCAAACCTGGTGATATCCATATCAATACTACTTTTGTATAAGAATATTCAGGAGAAAGATCACAAATAGGGGAATAGAGAGGCAAGCACCTAGCTACAAGATCCTTCAAATTCCCCCGACAAAAGCTAGAATTATGGACAAGAAGGAAAAGAATAAATCACTACCCCATCATTATTTCATGATAATCTATGTATAATTTGTTGATCCACTATCTTCCTAGGAAATCATAAAACAACTAAATAAAATGCAAAATCACCAAGTAAAAATCACTATTTCTAAATGATACCCTAACAACTCTTCTTTTGCACACAAGAGAGCAATTTTAACAAGGCTGACAAGGAGAATCCTAGCTAAGCTAGGACTGAGCATAACTTGGCTTGCTATTCAACATACCATACTCTATGACGCCTTATAGATGATAGACAACTCACTTTCAGGAAGAAAACATAGCTTTGTCATTTGCACACACACAAAAATACACAAGTTAGGTGCAGTATCTACATGCAAAATTTGTCACTATCACATAGATATGATGTTTGGACTAATACTCAGGGAATGCATAAGTATAATGGTGAATGTGGTTTTGGCTCACAAACATGCTTCCTAAATCCCAAGGTTATACAATATGCATCCGTTCATATTGCTGTACGTAGGATATCCATTAGCCAACTTATCTAAGACATTGAATCATTAAATAAGGTACAATCCACAATGAACCAAAATCATGGAGTCCACACTACCTAAGATGACCAAAAGCAGATCAGTAATTAGATTTGGTTAAAGGATAACAAATCCCAGGGGACACAACTTCTCACCTTAAGAGTACCTCCCGTGTACAGATTTTCCAGTGTTGCCTCCAATTCAATAATTACATCATCACCCTTCACAATTCTCTCTTCCTCTTCCATCGTGCCCCCACCAAAAAACCTGAAGGAAAGCTTAATCTTGTCAGCAATAAGGAGGTTGAATAAAGTAAAATAAAAAGTGAACAATTCCTAAAATAACGATGGCTAGCTACATATAAACTAAGTGAATGTAGGATCAGGTAGACTGTTCATGAAGGTAAAATGATTAATAATATAAGCTATATCCCAAATACAAATCAATAACTAACTTGTTTTTTTTTTTTTTGATAATTTCATACATTATCACCAATAAAAAAAGTAGAGGTTATCATCCACTATAGGGAACCTAAAGTTGGGTAACACACCTAAAATGCATTACTATGCTGAGTATAATTAACTTACCATAGCATTTCAATTACTACTGTATTGCTATAAACAAGATAACGCAATGCGATATAAAAAGAAAAAAAAATCAAAAATCTTACGAGCTAAAAATGTCGTGCATATTAACCCCCATTCCTCCTCCGCCTCCACTGGCAGCATGTTGCTTCAGGCCTTCCTCTCCATACCTATCATATATGCCCCTCTTTTCGCTATCCGACAGCACTTCATAAGCTAATCATTTATAAAACAAATTAATTTTTGGACAAAAGAAGAACAAATTAATTCCATCACTCAAAACAAATTTCGCCCAAAATACAAAAATAAAGAACGAGAATTTTTACCGTTGCTGATATCCGCAAATCGCTTATTGGCCTCTTCATTACTGGGATTCTTATCAGGATGATACTTCAATGCTAGCTTCCTATATGCTCTTTTGATCTGCTCATCCGATGCTCCTTTCGGCACTTGCAATATGTCATAATAACTCTTCCTGCAATAGATACAGTAATCACCACATTCTTTCACGCTAAACAAAAAAACGCCATTTTTCTGGAAATGTAGAGACAGAGAGAGATAAGCGCGTACCCTGCAATGGCGACGATCGCGTAAGACAAAGCGAGTAACAGAAAAAGTCGTTTCGGACCCGAAAGCGCCATGAATTAGATCAGTAGAGAAACTGGATCATGGATCTCTCCGAAGCTTCCCAAATGTTTAAAAATCCTTATGATCTTCAATTCCAAATAAAGAACACTTAATTTGTGCGTGAGAAGATGGGAGATGGATTGGAGCGGAATTTTTTCTTTCTTTTTTTCTTTGAATGTATCGTTTTTTCAGTTTGGTGCTTCGATACTAGGCTTGGGACTAAACTTTTGCAACGTGTTCCTGCCAAAAACTGCCCAGTGATCGTTAAGCTTCCTGTTGTTTCTTCCAATAGAGTTTTGCCACGTGGGAGTGATTTCCTCTTCCGAGTGTCGCATCTCTGATTTTCTGGAATATTTTGATATACAAATCAAATTTTAGTTGCACAAATAAAAAAAATTTAATAATTTAAAAATATCTTATATTTATTTTAAGTTTATTAAAAAATAATTTTAATTTACTGTACATTTTGAAAATATATTTTGTAACGATGATATAATATAATTAACAGTGATTATTTAAATATATTGATAAGCCATGAATTAATAGACTATTATTATCTTTTTAATGTTTTAAGTTTAAGCACTGTACATATAAAAATATAAATGTTAATTGTTTAATAGTTAAATAGTTAAGAATCTTTAAATATATTCACCCTAAATATATATATATATATATATATATATATTAATACGAATATTTTGTTAACATTTAACGGTATTATTTACTTGATAGTTAACAAAATTATTATGATTGCACATTTAATTTTCAGTATTTATATATTATATCATTTTAGTTTTAATTTAATTTAAAAAAGTTAACCCATTAATCAAACCACTAGCAGCGCTTGAACTTTTTTTTTATCCTTGTTTGGCTATGTGATGGCACCAGTTTTAAGTTAGTCGCCGATTATTAATATTTTTTTATTTTCTTATATCATATATTTAATTTTCTTTATTATTTCTTTTTGGTTTTTAATAAGTTTGTGTTTATGACATATTTTCTTTAATCCTTTCAGTATAATTTTAGTATTTTTTTAACGATTGTTTAAGTGTTATCTTCGTATAATTTTCTTATCATTAGATTTGACGTCGCTTTGATTGATTAAGATGATGTTTATCTAGCACGAACCAACTTACTTTGGTGGTTAAAAGAATTATTGTTGTTTCTAGAGGTCATAGGTTCGAGCACTAGTGATTGCGCTGACAAGGAGTGATTGAGTGTTCATTATTAAATGATTAAAAATACTTATAATATATACTACTTTGTAATCACATTTAGCTTAATAAAAAAGATATGCAATTATCAGTGATATTTCAGTAGTTTAATTTTCTATTATGATTCATTTTTTGATACAGCCAGATTTGTTAATATCTCGATTTTTAAATGAGTTTTTAATATTTTTCTTATATAGTATTAACATAATATTAAGTAATTAATTTTTTATCAATAATTATAAAAAATGTTTTAATTATATATTTAATTTATGTTTATAATCATACATCTTTAACATAATTTTAAATGTCTCATTTTTTTCCTAATAAAACTAACATCTTACATTACATCAAAATTTGTTTTTCTTGCGACTTTGGGAAAAGTCCATCCATCACTACCACCAAAGCCGATCCATGGTATTGCTTAAAATATAATTCATTTTCATTTTATCCAAAAAATCAATACCAATAAATAAAATAATAAAAATGGAAACGAGAAGCCAGGGAATATAACAAATATCGAAAGCCGTAGACGAGTGAAAACAGAGTGAAAAAGAAAATGGAGAAGTCTCAGATCTGGTTGGCCTTTGGAACCTTTGCCTTGTTATTGGCATCAGCGATAGCGGACGACGTCGTTGTACTCACCGAAGAAAACTTCGACAAGGTAGTTGGTCAAGATCGAGGAGCTCTCGTCGAGTTCTATGCTCCTTGGTAATCATTTCTCTATCTCCCATTTCTTTGGTTTTTTATTTATTAGATTAGATTTAACTCGTTAATCATTCGTTAGATTTTATTTGAAATTTGATTGAATCATCGGTTATTTCCTCTTATCACTTTTGACCTCCCCCATTTGTTTGATTATTTTTAACTATTTTTATTAGGATTAAACTCTCTATATTACTCTATTGTCGCTAAAGATGTTCCTCTTAAGGTGATTTTGTTCTCTAGGATTTGAATTTGGTTATTTGTTCATTTATTTCGAAAGATATTTGATCTAATTTGGTTATTCATTTAATTCAGATTAGTCGATTTGTCTGTTATGGCATAAAACTAGGTTTCAGCTATCTGTATTCTCAACATGATCGGGTTTTTTCAACCACAGGTGTGGTCACTGTAAGAAGCTAGCTCCCGAGTACGAGAAGCTTGGGGCAAGTTTTAAGAAGGCTAAGTCGATTTTGATCGGAAAGGTTAGGGTTTATAATTACCCGAGATTTGTTTGTTAGTATATGAATTGTTAATAACCAGGTTACTTATCCAACTCGTTTGTTATGCCTTTGTATTCTTTTCTGAATTGCGAAAAGTTTTCTATGATGAAGTTTTTCTTGCAATTGCAAATCTTCTGTAGTTTTTACTAGAGCTTATTTTGTTAACGTGGGTGTAGGTGGACTGTGATGAGCATAAGAGTGTATGCAGCAAATATGGTGTTCAGGGCTACCCGACTATTCAGTGGTTTCCAAAAGGCTCCTTGGAGCCTAAAAAGTGAGTCTCATTTAACTTGTAAAATAGTACCCTGAATTAAAATCACTTTCTTATTGTATGGCAACTGGTTTTTTTAGATATGAAGGGCAACGGACTGTAGAGGCCCTTGCTGAGTTTGTCAATACCGAAGGAGGTAATTTGTCTCTCTTTTTTTCTTCTCATTTGCACAAGTGTCTAGTTGTGGTTGCTTTTTCTAAGAAATACTGTCTCAAAGTTTTTAGTTTTGTGTTTCTCGAGTTGAACTTGCTGAATATAGATTGATGTCTGATGGCTGCCACAAGGATTTGCTAAGGTCATGTGTTGTTTTACAGGGACCAATGTGAAGATAGCCACTTCGCCATCCAATGCTGTAGTGCTAAATGCTGATAATTTTGACCAGGTTGTCCTTGATGAGACCAAAGATGTGTTGGTTGAGTTTTATGCACCTTGGTAAGCATGTGATTTTTCTAATTAGTATTTTTCAAAAAGATCATAGAGGTTAAGGTTTCAGCTGTTCCACCTTAGGTCACTGTTTAAGGACCTCATGATATGTGTATCAAGTTTTGCTGGTTGATATTCTTTTGCTTCCATCTTTTCTACTTGACGTGTTTTGACTGAGTCCTGGGTTGTTTTTCTGCCAGGTGTGGCCACTGCAAAAACCTTGCTCCTGTAAGCATCTATATCTTTGCTGAATGAAGCAGATATATGCTTATTTTGGCAGAAGTGATCTCCTTTCTAACCCTTTGGTTTTGTCTCCGCAGACCTACGAAAAGGTAGCAACAGCATTCAAAATGGAAGAAGATGTTGTGATTGCTAATCTAGATGCTGACAAGCACAAGCATCTAGCTGAAAAGTATGTAAACTTAACCAATTAGCTCAGCGTTCCTTAATAAATTTTTCTAAATGTTTACCAAATGTAGCAATTGATTTCAAGGCCTTTAATTGCAGATACGGAGTAAGTGGGTATCCAACCTTGAAATTCTTTCCAAAAAGCAACAAAGCTGGTGAAGATTTCACCGGTGGCAGGGATCTAGATGACTTTGTTGCTTTCATCAATGAGAAGTGTGGCACCAGTCGTGATGGAAAAGGGCAGCTGACTTCAAAGGTTAATAGTGCGTCATTAGTACATCATATCCATCATTATCAATACTTGTATATGAAACTAACTGTTCTCGTTTTCTTTGCATAGGCTGGTATTTTGTCTAGTTTAGATGCACTGGTGAAGCATTTTGTGGCTGTCAGCAATGATGAGAAGAAAGTAGCCTTCTCGAAGATTGAAGAGGAAGTTGAGAAGCTTAAGGGTTCCAGTGAGAGGTATTCAATTTCTCTCTCAATGGTCTTCTCCGAAGGCCTTGTCAATTCCTAGTTTCCTATTTAAATTTTATTTGTATCACAGAACTGTCCAATGTCTTACATTTCTAGTTGGTGGTTGTCAGGTATGGAAAGATATACCTGAAAGCTGCTAAAAGCTGTTTGGAGAAAGGTGCTGATTATCCCAAGAAAGAAACAGAGCGGCTGCAGCGCATGCTTGACAAGGTAAGGATTACTGTTGGATCTTCAAGTAAATTTATGTTATGGTGGTTTGAGGATTACAATTAATTAGTAGTGATTAAGATGGTGCCCTGAAATTAACGCTTCCATTCCTATGCCATTTGTTGTAATAAACAAAATTATGTTCCCTAGTTACGATTTTCCAGGAAATGTAAACTCTGGTTGCTGGTAGGGGTGGTTAAAATGTAATTGTAAATTATCCATTACATGGGATGACCCTAATTGTGAGTTATTCTCTGTTTCTGATGCAGTCTATAAGCCCAGCTAAAGCAGATGAATTCACTCTCAAGAAGAATGTCCTATCAACATTTATATGAACCGAGATCACTACATCCACTGGCGGAAGGCCAAGTTTCTGAGGGATTGATTTTGCCTCCCAGTGCCGTAATGTAGTCATGTTTTTTGTTCTAAGTTTGATCTTTTCTTTTCATATGAATTAAAGCACTTGCCTGCAATAATAGTAGTAAAACGACTTTGTGAGGCTAGCTAGAGCAGTCCTTTAATTAGGCATTTTTCTTATATGTGCCCCTGTACACAATGATAAGATCTTTGGTTAACCTTAGCAGAATTAAAACTTTAGTTGCAGGCTAAGTTAATGGAGCATCGTTTCATCAAAAGCGAAGCTGCTTTTAAACAAAAACAAAGACTGTGTGTCCAACATTAACACTATAGAGTCGTTGACCTTAAATCTAATCAAGTATGTGTTATGGTCGGAGAAGAAGAAGAACGGCAAGGAGAGGAGGATTTGGGAATGGACGAGCGAGGGGAGAAATTGGGAATGAATGCGCAAGGGTTAGGGATTGGAAAATGTAAATTGGGAATTGAAGCACGTGAAGGGCATATGATTAACTTACCGGATGAGTTGGAGCAGGCTGAATGGATCCAGGAAGAGTTGGAGCAGTTCGAGTCAAAAGGCCAATACCTGCAGAAGATAGGAAGGGATAAGTAGTGTTGTTAGAATCTGTTATAAAAGACAACCACCTGGCATTATTAGAATTACCGTACAACCATTGTAACTAAATAAGACCTGACTTGAGGCATTTTCTTCCTCATGCAATGAATGAATGACTATTTTTTTCTCTAAATTCTCTCATTCTCTTCTCGTATCTTTCTCTGTTTCTCTCATTCCATAACAAATTGGTATCAGGAGCCTTAATTCCTGGCAAATTGCAGACTGTATATGCAAAAGAAGAACCACACCATGGTAGAATCTTCTGATCTCTCTGCCATCAAAAAGCAGATTGAGGACTTAAAGAAAATAGTGCAGCAAGCAAATGAGGAAACCAACCCTCCCAAGTGGTGGGAGGCACAAGATAAACGTATCAGTTCATTGGAGTCTAGGATGACAACGACTCAAAGCTACATGGAGCAGATATTGGGGATGCTGACAGGGAGGATAGAGGAGCAAGTCCAAAACAACCCTGGAATTGAGCAGATGTTACATATGGCAATAGAAGATACAAAGGATAGGTATCAAGTGTTCGATAAATTGCCAAAACCAAAGGTAGATGTACCAGTGCAGCAGAGCTACTTGTGGTACAGTTCAAGCAGTGGTGATTCTGATTCCCAGGTCACCAGACTCTACAAAGACAAAGAGCAACCTGTAGCAGAAAATTACTATCCAATTAACCTTGGAATTTATACGGTGGATAAGAAATTTGAACTATCCATGTTGGTTGATCGTGCCACAGGAGGATCAAGTATTAAAGATGGAGAAATATAACTCATGCTTCACAGGCGAATGATTGCTGATAATTCCAAAGGAGTAGGCGAAGTCCTTGACAAAAGTCTCTGCGGGAACCACAAGCGAGGTACTTGATTTTCAATATGATGAAACAATGAGTGTAGGTTATTTCAATGCCATTGAGACTATAAAGAACCATGTAGAAGATGATGTCCCTTACAAGTTTAGATTGTTGCTAATGGGAATTAATGCGCTAGTAGAGGTCAAGAAGATAATTGGAAAGGGAAGTGGTTTTGTTGCTGTGGAGATTCCATTTACTTTTCTTGCTAAATGTATTTTGGAAATTTCGTGGGAAGAAGCCCGCCAACTTGGCCATGACATATTAATCCTTGGGCATACTATGGTTATGAACACTTTACAGGGTGAATGGGTCCCTATTGTTGTTGATGACTGGATTCCATGTGAATCACCTGGCGAACCAGCATTTACGACCAGTAAGAAGGCTAATGAATTATGGGTTTCTATATTGGAGAAGGTATATGCAAAATTGCATGGTTCTTGTGAGGCACTAGAATGTGGGCTTGTTCAGGATGCACTTGTTGATCTTACTGGAGGTGTTGGTGAGGAGATCGACATGAGAAGTTCCCAGGCCCAGTTGGATCTTTCCAGTGGTAGATTATGGCCTCAGTTGTTGCGATTTAAACAAGAAGGATTTCTTTTTGGTGATGGAAGTCCATCAAGCTCTGATGTGAAGGTTTTTTCCAGTAGCATTGTACAAGGACATGGGTACTCGTTACTGCAGGTAAGAGAGGTGGATGGACACAAGCTTATTCAAATTCGAAACCCTTGGGCTAATGAAGTTGAATGGAATGGTCCCTGGTCTGATTCATCTTCGAAATGGACAGATAGGATGAGGTACAAGTTGAAGCATGTTCCTCAGTCAAAAGATGGTATATTCTGGATGTCATGTCAAGACTTCCAAATTTACTTCAGGTCAATATATATATGTCGGGTCTATCCTCCTGAGATGCAATATTCTGTCCATGGACAATGGCGTGGTTACAGTGCCGGTGACTGTCAAGATTATAATTCGTGGCACCAAAATTCCCAGTTCCGATTGAGGGAAACTGGTCCAGATGCTTCTTATCCGATTCATGTGTTCATCACCTTAACTCAGGGTGTTAGCATTCTGGAATTTTTGAATGAAAAGATAAGTAAGCTACTCTCTGGTGATGACACTAAGGCAGTCCAGAAAATTATTATCTCTATCGGGAATATGTGTGTGAAAGAAACTTCTGCTTTTAATATGAAAATTGCGCTTGATTTGATTTTTAGCCTTTGTTGTTCAAAGGTTGATGATATTTTAATTGCAGCTGGAGAAGCTCTATCATTTCTCTGGGGTGGTGTTCCTGTAACTTCTGATGTGATTCTCAAGACCAACTTTATTTCACTTTTCATGCCTTCAAATTTTCTTTTGGGTGACACATCAATGAAGAAAAACCTAGTTGATGCACTTGTTACCACTTTGACTGGCTTTGGAAAGAGGGAAAGAGCGATCAAGTTGGTTGAATACTCGGAGGTATTTCAAGAGGTCACTATTGGTGAAAGCCTTAGTGGGAGGAAACTTAGCACTTATAAGGAGCTTTGTAATCTTGCAAATGAGATGGGACATCAAGATTTAATTTATAAATTTTTGGATCTGGATAATTATCAAGCCTCACTAAATTCCAAGAGAGGTGCTGCTTTTGGATTTTCTAAGATAGCCAAGCAAGCTGGTGATGCTCTTCAACCACTTTTAAGAGTATTGATTCCAAGGCTTCGGCGTACTCGTGAGGAATTGTGCCTTGCCCTTGCAGATATTATCCAAGGTCAAAAATTTGATCAGGTTGGGAAGTATTTGAAGAAAATAAGGGTGGTTGCTTTTCGTGCTATGGATGACATCAAAGAAACTGTGCGAAATGCTGGTGACAAACTATGTCATGCTGTAGCCTCACTAACAATAAGGCTCTGTGATGTGTCCCTTACTGAAGCATCAGATGCAAGCCAATCGATGGATATTGTTCTTTCCATTTTGCTTGCAGTAGGCATATTGAGTAAATTTGACAGTATCAGGAAGGCACTACGGGAGTTGTTAGCTTCAATTATAAGAAGGAAAAACCATGGGCAGTCTATGGTTCACTTCATTCTCAAACCCAAGGAAAACATGAATCAAAGGTTAAAGGCATGGGGTGTGAAGGCACAAAGCAAAATGGAAATTTATAGAAATTTGAAGGTCGTGGGGCGAGTTTACTTGAAATTTCAGTCTTACCATCAAACCTCACTTGCTCTTCGAAAGGGATTAAAGCTGGCAGCAAGGTTCTATGGTTCTGTAAAGATCGACAAACGTAGGGAGCAGGAGCACAATTAGATACCGTGGATGAAATTAGAACTGGAAAACATTACGGTGGTAAATTATATTGTACTTCCAGCACAATTCTCAGATTTTGATCCTTGGGGACAAGGATCATCTCGTGGGGCGGGTATTGTTATGGTCGGAGAAGAAGAAGAACGGCAAGGAGAGGAGGATTTGGGAATGGACGAGCGATGGGAGAAATTGGGAATGGATGCGCAAGGGTTAGGGATTGGAAAATGTAAATTGGGAATTAAAGCACGTGAAGGGCATATGATTAACTTACCGGATGAGTTGGAGCAGGCTGAATGGATCCAGGAAGAGTTGGAGCAGTCCGAGTCAAAAGGCCAATACCTGCAGAAGAAAGGAAGGGATAAGTAGAGTTGTTAGAATCTGTTATAAAAAACAACAACCTGGCATTATTAGAATTACCGTACAACCATTGTAACTAAATAAGACCTGACTTGAGGCATTTTCTTCCTCATGCAATGAATGAATGACTATTTTCTTCTCTAAAATCTCTCATTCTCTTCTCGTATCTTTCTCTGTTTCTCTCATTCCATAACAGTATGTGATTTGATCCCTTTCTTATCAAAATTCAATATAATGTATGATAATTTTGAAGTGCTACGTCATCAATTACATAAAGTTATTAAAATTTATAAACTTCAAACAATTTAAATATATATTTAAAAAGTTATAAAATGTATTATTTTTAATAATTGTATATATATATATATATTTAATAAAATGTTGATATAAATTATGAAAGCATTATATAATTAGAAAAAAAATATATATATCAATAACATTGTATGATGATTTTAAAGTGCTACGTCATCAACTACATAAAATTATTAAAAAATTATGAACTTTAAAAAACATTAAATATATATTTAAAAAATTAAAAAATATAAAAAGGTGTAAAATTTATTATATTTTAATAATTGTAAAAAGTGTATATATTTAATATAATGTTGATATAAATTATGAAAACATTATATAATTATAAAAAATAGAAAAATTACAATTTTAATAGTTACAAAATAAAATTGTAAAGACTTTTTTCCGAATAATTTATACTCAGAAATAGGAGGAAAAAAATTACTCATAATAAATATTATACTCACAATTTAAGAAAAATTGTCAAATGAGAAGTATTAACTACTTATTTTATAACTGGGCGACAAAATAGTAAAAAAATCTTGAGTTGATAATTTATTGCAAGAGATTATCATTGAATAAAACTTGAACTAGTCAATGTATAGCAGTGAAGTTAGAAATCTCAAAATTATGAGTCCTGGCCATATTCAGTAAATTAGTGCATTCTAAAGTTCTATAGAAGTTTTAATAATTTTTAAATCATCAACATAAATAATTAAATATATTTTATTTTATTTTATTTTATAAAAAATATATAGATAAATCAAACCATTTATATATTTAGATAATTATATCATTTTCTTTCAAATTATTTTAATCCGTATAATTTAGAAGTGGAAAATTGTACAACGTTCGAGCATCACTAAGTACCTCTAACGATGAGCACCATTAATTTATTTTATAAAAATTTAAAATTCTAAAGTACTCAACGTATAATTATAAATTAGTTAAAAACTTAAAGGTAAATTATTTAAAATAAAATATTAATTATATTATTTTCCATAATCCTTTTTGAGTAAGCTCTACCATGGATCATCTAATTATTGCCCTTTTCATTTTGATCATCATTTTTAAAATTTTATCAATCATGTCACCCAATTATTTAAATGCATTCAATCAAGCCACTTGTCGTTAACATTTAATGGGAGAACTGATATGACAATTAATAAAATTAGTATAATTATACATTTAGTCCTTATTCCTTACACAATCTATCAAATTGGTAATAATTTTATTTAATTCAATATATTTTATTTAATTCAATATATTTAATCCTCTAATCACACGAGTCATGACATCATTAGAGTGTTTTTTAATTTATATTTATATTTAATTTTAATTTTTTTCCTTCAATCAAACGATGACACGTGACCCCATCTGATGAAAGGAAAATAAATTAAATCAAAGAGGCTACTAGGGAGAGTCGAACTTGTGCCTTTAAAGTAAAATAAGTCTACCTATATCATCGCACTACGATCAGTATTTGGAAAAATACTCACAGTATTTGTTATGTATCTTATACAATAATAAAGGCCAACACAATGAAAACAAAAGTAACAATATAAGGACTCAAACTTGGGTCTATTACTAGGGATACGCACCTGGCAGGGTGGGCCCATTTTTTAGCCACCCAGCCCTAACCTGAAAGTATATTGTTTATACATAACCCCGTTCCCGACTCTATTTAAATATATTAATATTTTAAAATAATTAAAATAATATATTTATAATCATTTGAAATATTTGAAATGGTTAAATTATTATATTTTACTTTAAACCCGACAAGAATTGAATATATATAAACGAGTAAACTAATAATTTATATCGGGTTAGGTCGGGTTGGTGATTTTTCACCTTAAACCCGACCCCACCTTGCCCAAAGCTATTTGTTATATAACCCACTCCGCCTCGCCCCGAACCCAAAATTTTAAAAAAATCGAACGAGTGATGACAATTTAATACGAAGCCGACATATTTTGACCCAACTCGATCTAATAGGGGTCGGGTTTTTTGTTGTTGTTGTTGGAATTTCAAGTCTGGGGCGGAATATATAATAGACAGCTCCAGGGCAGAACGGTGGTGGGTTTAAGGTGAAAAATTATCGACCTAACCCAATCCGGTATAAATTATTAGTTTATCCTTATATATATATATATTTGAATCTAGACAAGTTTAAGGTAAAATATATTATTTTAACCATTTAAAATATAATAAATAATTATCAATATATTATTTTAACTATTTTAAAATATTAATATATTGAAATAGGGTCTAACGGGGCTGGGTATAAATAATATATTATTGGGTCGAGGTCGAGGCAACCAAAAAACCGGCCTATCCTGCCACGTCCTATCCCTAGTAATAGGCTAAAGTTGCAGTTGTTTTATTGTTACTTTTGTTTTGGTTTGATTTTTTTTTTTTGCCTTCATTATAGTATAAGATAATTAAAAAATGTTGTAAACATTATATAAAAACTAGTGTTAGTGCAGTGGTAGAGGCTGTTTAATCCACTTTGGAGACCCAAGTTCAACTTTTCCCAACAAATTCTTGATATAATTTTTTTTCCTTATAGATTGGAGGAAAAATTATTAAAATTAAATATAAATTAAATTTTAAAAAAGCCCTGAAATGATGCCATGACACATGTCGTCATATGATTGAAGGATTAAATAATTGAATTAAATAAAATTATGACCAATTTGATAGATTGTATAAGAAATAATGACTAAATGTGTAATTATACTAAATTTATTAACTGTCACATCAGCTCTTTCTTAAATGTTAATGATAAGTGGTTTGATTTAATGCATTTAAATAGTTTAGTGACCTGACTGATAAAATTTCAAAAATATTGGTCTGAATGAAAAGGAACAATAGTTAGGTAGACAATAATATAGTTTACCCAAAAAAAGATTATGGAAAATAATGTAATTAATATTTTATTTTAAATAATTTACTTTTAAATTTTTAACTAATTTATAATTATACGTTGAGTACTTTAGAATTTTAAAATTTTATAAATCAAATTAAAGGTGCTCAACGGTACTCGTTGAGCGTGACAGATTCATCTTTTAGAGATTCGTATGTTAAGAGTGATTTTAGAGAGAGGAAGAAAAGAAAAGGGAAAAAAAAATTGATTTGGGTATTTATAACTATAAACAAATAATTCACTTTTTCTAATATTATAGATATTTACAATAGTTTATATTATTTATAGTAAAACGATATTTATTGTGTTGATTGTTCATTAGTGAAGCTTTCTAGTGATTAAATGTTTTTTAGAAGGATTGATTTACCAAATTGTGAAATTGATAGGAGAGATTTAATTTTACCAACTTTTATGTTGAAATTCATATAAAATTTAGGGTAAAGCACGTGAATAATTTTTTTAGTTATAAGATATTATTTTACTGAATTCATCGACTATTAAAAATATAAAATGATTTATCGATTATAGAAAGTTACTTTGTTGAGTCTTTCGACTATTAAAAATTACAAAATGATCATCCGTTTTTCATATGTTCTAGACTCATCATTTTCTGATAAAAAATTAGTTGTCTTCTAAGCTGGACGTTAATTTGTTAACTAGGATATGATAAAATATGATCACATAACCTTTTGAGATGTATTTTGTCGATCGACTCTCTGTTTTCATTATGCCACCAAGTCAGTACTTGAAACATTATGTCATCGGGTCAGTGCTTGAAAGCAACGATGGTGTTTGTAGACATCTTTAAAATATGATTTTATCAGTCGTTATGTTAACGCCCAACTCAGTCGTCCATCATTTTTTAACAAAAAAAATGACGAGTTTAGAACAAATAAATAGTCATGGGACCATTTTGTAATTTTTAATGGTTAAAAGACTCAACAAAACAATACCCTATAAGGACCATTTGTATACTTTACCCTAAAATTTAACATTTTAAGTTTGAAAAAAAATAACTCTAAGAAGTTTACATGAAAATGAAAAATCTTATTACAAAAGTATTATTTTGACATTATTAGCCAATGATTCAACATAAACAAAGATTATGTTTAAAGAAAGATTCAAGAGGCGCCTCTATTAAGCATTTCGGTATATTCCAAATAAGAAATCTGCCTCTGTAACTTCATTTGCTCATAAAACTCAACTATGAACTTCTCCGCTTTTGAATCGATCCCTTCTTCACACCCTTTCTCTTCCTCCGCCGCCGCAGCCTCAGCCAGCTGATCGGAGAGTACTGTTGAGTCACCCTTCCTCCCATTATCATACCCGTGGACCTCACAACATTCATCATCGACTCCAAAATTGTAGTCAAAATCAACTTCTTCGACACTAATGCAAGGGAGAAGAAACCTCATGGAAGAAGCAACGGCCGAGCGGAAAATAGGGGTCTCATCGAAGGAAAGCTGACGTCCGTTATAATAGCTGATCTCATCATGACGAGGAGCTTTTGTGTAATGTCCGATGCGTTTGAGGAACTTAACCCGTCTTTTGAAAGCCCCATTTTTTCTCGTCCATAGTGATAGCATTGCTAGGCGGAGGAAACTCCACGCTGTTCCGGCAATGCTACTCCGCTTATTCGCCATTCTCGCCAGCTTCATATAAGATGGGATTTTCTTTTTGAATTTAATGGTGGCTAAGAGCTTTTGTTTGGAGTTTTGAGTGAAAGAGAAAGTGGAAAGTTGGATGATTTATATGCGTGCAATTCATGTTTGAACGTTTGATCCATACGCGGAAAGATCTGGATGAAAACAGGTTTGGGTTTGATTTCTAGCGAGAGATCAAGGTGGAACCTCGTTGGAAACAGGGTAGGGTTGTGTTTGTACGCGACGTAAATCTAGCTGTCGCAGTTTTCTTTCCAAATTTAACCTCTCTTTTTCTCTATATTACTACTAAACACAAATCAGAAAAGTTCAAGTTTTCAAATCATATGAAAGTTTAAAATCATTAATATTTGATTTATTAATTAAAAATTTTAAATAAAAATATTATAAAATTGGTTTTTTAACATAATTTATTTTATTTCTAATATTAAATTTTAAACTTAAAAAATTATTTATTAGATATTTTAATTATAAATTCAACAATAATATTATGAAGATAAAAGTAAAATTAAAGATTTAAATTAAGATGAATATTTAATAACACATGAAATTTGAACGATGCGGAAGGGTATTATAGTCAATCGGTAGTAATGAAGAATTTTTTAATTGGAATTAAAGGCAAAAAATGTGAAGCAAATGATTGAGTAGGCCTCCCTTTTTGAGGGGAGGTAGCTTTTGTTTATTAAATGGTTATATCATTGTTTTTTTTTTTGTTAAATTATATAATTAATCAATCTCGTTTTAAGATTTACGTATTTTTTCTTATTAAATTTAAAAAATATAATAATTAGTCGTTTTCGTTTTTATTTAGTTAATTTAAAATCATTGAGGGTAAAATATCATTGGACTTTTAAAGAATTATTGACATGGAACAATAAACATAAAAAGTTAAAAAGTTAAATTACACAAATAGTCACTAATATTTAAGCTTTTGTTATTCTAATCAAAATTTTAAAAATGACTAATTGATCGAGACTATTTTACCGTATATGTCCAATACTGATCCGAACCAATTCTAAATCCCACGGCCACAAAAAGAAACAATCGAAGCATTACCAACTGAAGGTCGAAATCGCAGGCTATCAAAACTCATTCATTATCGTCATCTAAATTCTTAATACTCAAATTAGGGAGAACCCTTCTTGTTCTCGTTTTGACTTTTGGACTTGTTTAAAAACCTGCCTGAATTGCCATGACAGCAACTGAAATCGATGAAGTTAACTTCTGAAAGTAACTTCTTTTTCAGACACCCTCTCTCTGAAAGGTGAACCTTTAAGTTGAAAGGTTCTTGCTGTTCTTAGAGGAGTTCTCCAAGTTGCCTCCTTGCTTTGGATGTTCTGCTCCTAGTGGCCATTTGAGCAAGTGTTTGGCTGAGGGGTTGCAAAGTTGAAAATAAAGCTAAATGGTTTAAATATGTTGATCAGGAAGACGGAAAAGAAGAGAATATATAGAATGACAGAAACAGACATAAACCTGTCAGTTTGGGATTGAAACAGAGCAGAAATAAAGGAAGATTGTTTGTAGCTTTCACTATGACGATAATGGATATATTTTGATAGTTTGCGATTTCGACTTTCAGTTGGTAATGCTTCGACTGTTTCCTTTTGTGCCGGTGGGGTTTCGTATTGGGTCGGATAATTCTCGTACATATATTATAAAAGTTATAAAATAGTTTCTCAACGTTATTTTGTTAAGTTATCGATTATCAAAGATATAATTCTCGTACATATAATGAAAATCGCCTGAGCTAGACGTTAATCGTCTGATTGAGATATAATAAAATCATATTTTAATGATGTCTACTGACACCATCGTTATTTCCGAACATTGACTCGATGTCATGATATTTCAAACATAACTTGACAACATAATATAAACAGAGAGTCGAAACACAAAATGCAGGTCAAACGCTTATGATATCATATTTTATCATATCTTAATCATCAAATTAAAGTTCAGCTCAGGTGATCGTCAAATTTTACACCAAAAATTAGTGTGAAATATATGAATAATCGATTTATTATTTTGTAAATTTTAATAGACGTATGTTTAACAAATTAATATTTTATAATCGAAGAACTATTTTTTAACTTATAATAATCTAACGAATTCAACTAAAGAACGTAATATGGTTGAAGACCTAAATTTTTTGGCATTTAGTTTTAGCCTACTTTGGCTAGCTTCTCGAGACCAGCTGTGTTTGTGAAGGCTAATGTCAATCGATGGCTTTGGCTTTACAATTTATGTTTGGACAACAGCTTAGCTCCATTGCTGTAAAGAGATGTAAATTGGTGCCTTCTTGGAAGTTTCATTTTCAATCACCCAGATTCAAGAGGTAATGTCAATACCACAACTTCACTTAATTTGAACTAGGAAACTTCTATCACACGGTTTCCGTAGGATTTTTAATCTTTTTTAAAATTTTATTTTAATTTCATTTAATTTTTAATTCTTTATAAAATAATTTTATTTTATGATTTTTAATATTATTTAATAAAATTTTAATTTTTTTCACAAATAATTTAAGTAAATTGATTTTTGAAATAAGTAAAATTTAATTATTATATAATATTTTAAAATAATTTTTAAGATATAAAATATTTATTTTTACAGTGTAAAAAAAATAATTATAAATTAAATTATAAAAAGTAAATTTTAATTTAATTTCCGATAATTATAATTTTTAAACTTACCAACGGTTAATAATCCAAATACTATAATATAATTTATTCAGTTTTTTCACCTCTACCTTAAACAGGGAGGAGAGGTACCAGATTCATGGGCACATGCAACATATTTAAGGATCACTTCAGGTTCTCCCATGATAAACATTGCAATTTTTTTGGTAACTTACACTATTAGTTATTCAATTATTAACGTATTTTTGTTTAAGTCATCGAAATAATTTATTTTAATTTCATTGTTAATATTTTTAATCGATTCTATTTTTATTGTTTCTATTGAATTATTAATTAAAATTGTAATTTAATTAATTAATATAATACTATTTTTAATTTTTATACAATATTAAAATATATATTTTTATTAAAAATATATATTTTTAAATATATAAATTTATTAAAAAATATTTTAAAGACAAATAATTTGACGGAAACTATAAAAAAACGAGCATTACTGTTTATTTTTTTAATATATAAAAATTTTCTTATATATATATATATACATCGAAGATAGCAACACAAAAACTAATCAAACGAAACCGACTACAATAACAACGTACATATAGGGTAAACTGCATAATTCAGCACTATACTAGCTTTTTATTCTTATTTTGGTCAATAAAATTTAAAAATATTTAATTCTAGGTTTTGGTTTGACTTCAAACCAGAATTAGTGAAAGAGATTGAAGTCGAGTAGGAGAAGTTACTTCTTTCACTAGATCACCAAAGGTCTCTCAAATGGCATGTTATGTTATACTTTCTCCTTAGTTCAAACATTTCATCCTGCAAATATAGAGTGATTTACTCAAAATTATAAACAAAATAATAATATGATTTATTAAAATATTATTTAATTTGAGTAATTAAAAGTATTTTATTTTTTTATTTAATATATTAATTATTTATAATTTTATGAGGTGGAAAATGACATTATTGTAAAAAATTAATTATTTAAAATAATATCTAACTTTGAGTTATTAAAAAATAGATCTTATATATTAAAAAATAATATCTTTGTTCACTCGAGACTATAATATTATTTTTTTATAATATTATATTTTATATAAATAAATATGATACATATGAAAATTATTTAAAAATATAAGTTTGATATACTAATTATATGTTAAATGTATTTTTTCCTCAAAAGTTAGATAGTATAACAATTAAAATATTTCTATGAATTTTCATTCAAATATTTATAATTTAATATTAAAGTTTAACTTAAAAACATATATCACAAGGATAATTTGATAAAATATACATTCAAGTAATCTTATATTCATTCAATCAAACATCGCAATCTTACAGGTAAACAAGCTAAATAAGGTAATACAACCAGGGACGGACGTATGATTTCATGTTAAAAGGGGTGAATTTATAAATTTTTAAGTAGGAGTAAGCTTTTAAAATTTGAGTGGACGAAAACATATTTTCAATAGAAAACACAGAGAAAACATCTAAAATATATAGGAATTTAAAAATTTTAGGAGGCCGACTGCTGCCACCCGCCCCCTCTAAGTCCATCTCTGAAAATAACATTATTAGCATAATATTACATTCAAATAATTTTATTCCCAAAAATAATTTTACGTTTCGTGAACTAAATCCTCCTTAATTATTTTCGAGTCAGTAGCTCAAATACGAAACCTTTTTACATAATAAAATGACCACGTTTTATTTATTCCAAATAGGCCCATTATATAATTATTTTTTTTAAAAAAAGAAATATGTTTAAATGTAGTTATTTTAAATTTATTTAAATATGATCATCTTCACACAAATCAAGTGACATCAATAGTAAAATAATTGTTATTGTTCTTTATGTTTCGATTTTGAACACTATAAATATAAGGGGTGTTAACATTCAAAATCAAATTATTAAGAGTTATCTTTAAACAATATTACATTATAATTACACAAATTAATAAAAAATATCATATTCAATTTAAAATTGTAAAATTATAAATATTTTAAATAAAAATTACTATAATTGCTTCATTCATACATGAACTATATATGATTATCAGTTTCATACATAATGTTTGAAAATTATCGATTTCATACATGATGTTTTTTGGCGTTAACAGATTCACCCACTTCTGTTATAGAAAGTGACGTGAAAACTTACGACCACTAATAAAATAACAAGTGAAACTTTAAAAAAACACGTTTTTGTTTTTTTAGGTAAATTATATCATTCATCACTCAACTATCTTATCACTTTTATTTTAGTCACTAAAGTTTAACTTTTTTTTTAAAATTGAATTATTAAACTATACTAACCCTTAACTAGAGAAAACGTTTGGTTCCCCCTTTTTCTCCTAAACTCATCTTCTTTCTCACGGTCAAAGGCTCATATGCTCACTAATGCCACCGACCACCGATCATGGATGGCCTCTCCTGCTTCGATCGTCGACTACTCCTACCGATGACACCCTAAACCGTCCTAAAACAAACAACACTTCAAAATCTGATCTAATCTCTTCTTTTCTTTCCAATTGAAACCCAAAGTACCCGATCGCCACCCTTTTCTCCATCTACCCATGGCTAAAGAACCTAAACATAGTGATTTTATAAAAAAAATGATGCGATCATAAATTTTTGGTGGAGTCCAGTTCATAAATTTTCTTTAGGCGTTTTAACCCCTACAACTCTCATTATTTTACAAAATTGATACTCTTGCAGTCGGTCTTTAATTTGTTCATTTTTTTCATAGATACCTTCTGATTAATTCTTTCCTCTCTGTTTCCTGCAACTAAGAGGTTCTATCAGTTGTGAGTTTTTTTATAAAAAAAAAATTATATCTTTTGCTGTGGATTTTACCGAATTACACTGAGTTGTGTCAGTGTTTTTCCTCATGGGTACTGCTCCAACTCAGTGCCCATCTGGAATCACTGCAAGTTTCCATGCCAAATTTGATAATAGAACTGAGTTTCCAAGCACCAGTTTCCCATCCACTCTTAATCTTACGAAGCTTAGCTTTCACCCCAATTCCAAGGTATTATATATATATATTTATATATATATGTTTTTAAATCATATATTTGGTTTTTGTATACAGTATCATTTTGTTAATATATTCTTGATTTCCTGCAAATTTTATGGGCTAATGCAATTATGGTTATTTTTTGTGTTTAATGTTGTTTTCTTTCTAGATATTTGTGCTTTTAAGGCTGTAGCTTTGTACCTTATTAGAGGCTTAACACATTTTATTTGAAATGTTTATCCATGGATGAACTAGAGTGATTTATTAGAAACCGTGGAGGGAATTGAAAATGTTTCTTGGGTTGATTTTGTAATCGTAGAAATGACACTTGTAATTAGAGTATTGAATTTTATAAATTTGAGTTATTAATAAAATAAATTTGAGTTATTAATAGATGCCATGTCATAATATTATTGATAAAATAAATTTGAATTATTAAAATAAGTGTAATCTTATAGTTTAATAATTAAATTAAAAATATTTAAAATTTAGTGACTAAAATAAGAATGAGGAGATAGTTAAGTGATGAATGATATAATTTACCTAAAAAATAAAAAAATTATTTTTAAAGTGCCACTTGTCATTGTCGTAGGGTTATACTTCACTTTCCGTGACAGAATTAGATGAATCCGGCAAAAAATATCATGTATGAAATCGTGAAATTTTAAACATTATATATGAAAATGAGAATCGGGTACAATTTATGTATGAATAAGGTAATTAATCCAATTAATTATCATTTAGGGGGAAAACTTTGAAAATTAAAAAAATACGATTCATTGATTTTCACTTAGTTTTAAAGAAGTTTCTTTTAGGGTAAATTACAAATTTTATAATTAAATTTTACTCTCTTTCATATTTTACTCACTATACTTTAAATTCTTTTAATTTTTTCACTGAACTTAATAAATTAGATTTTTTTGGTCACCCAGTCGTTTTATCACTAACGACGTTATAAATGAACTTTTATATAAATGTAAAATGATGTTGTTTTGGTGAAAATTTTGTTTTTCTTAAAAATAACATCTTTTTAACGCCGTTAACTATTTAACGGTAGAGTGATAAAAAACACTCAATGAATTACGTTCAGTAAGAAAATTAAAAGCTTTTAAAATTTAGTAAGTAAAATAGGAGAGAAAATAAAGTTCACCGGTGAAATTTGTAATTTACCCTTGTTTTGATGTATGTAGATGAGCTGGATTCCATAACGGCATGGATACGTTAGGGCTCCACAACTTTCAAATTCAAAATAGTGGCATCATTGTTGTTAACACAAAATCAAAGGCCAATTTGCACCGAAAAAATAATAAATAATTTCGAAAAAAAGGAAAAAGAAAAAGGAAATAAATACTCCAAAAACAAATATCACTCTTATCGTATCGGCCCCTCCTCTCCCGATCCGTTCAAACAACGCTCCAAAAGCTCTCTCAATATCTTCCAAAAAGCAGCGTCACTCGCTTTCTCTCTGTCATTTTCTCAAACAACCCATCGACTCTTCCCCAAATCGTCCATTTTATTCCAAAAGGCAATAAATCGGCGATCACGTAATATTGTAACAGGAAAAAGAAGCGACGATGTCTCTAAGACCGAACGCGAGGTCGGAGGTCCGTAGGAACAGGTACAAGGTGGCGGTTGATGCGGAGGAAGGCCGTCGGAGGAGAGAAGACAACTTGGTCGAGATCCGAAAGAACAAGAGAGAAGAGAACCTCCTTAAGAAACGCCGCGAAGGACTTCTGGCTCAACAACAACAACCGCAGCAACTGCAGATGCTCTCTTCCACTACCGGCTCCGAGAAAAGGGTATGGCCTACTGATTAATTGATTTGATCAATCGGATCATGAATGATAGCTAGGGTTAACTTATTGTGCTGCATGGATTTCTACATTGAGCTGATTGGCACTTGCTTATCGGTTAATTTATATATTAATAGAGTTAATGGTGTTATAAAATGCTGATTAGGAAGTAGTTAAAACTGTAAATGAAACGCAATAGCTGTTTAACCTATTGATTTTGAAATTTAATTTAACACGAGTTTAACGTGTTTATAATCTAATTGCAGTTAGAAAGTCTTCCCGCCATGGTCGCGGGTGTTTGGTCAGATGACAGGGATGTGCAGCTTGAGGCAACAACTCAATTCAGAAAGCTGCTATCAATAGGTTGATAAATTATTTTGTTTTTCTTTCTTGCTAAAATTTATTTTTAGCTCTTATATCTCTCTTATTTTATTTGCAGAACGTAGTCCTCCAATTAATGAAGTTGTACAGTCGGGTGTTATTCCTCGCTTTGTCGAGTTCCTTGCAAGGGATGACTTCCCACAGCTTCAGGTTATTAGGATTTTTCTTACAAATTTTAATATTTTTTTGATAGTATTGTCTTTTTAACTTCGTTTATTATTTTGGGTTGTAGTTTGAGGCAGCTTGGGCTCTCACAAATATTGCTTCAGGTACATCAGAAAACACCAGAGTTGTAATTGATCATGGAGCTGTCCCTATATTTGTTAAGCTCCTAGGTTCTCCAACTGATGATGTTCGTGAACAGGTATGTTTTACAGATTGCATTGCACAGTTGTACTGTTTACTTGCATTGGTCATGAGGGTCATTATTCTTTTGAATTGTAGGCTGTTTGGGCATTAGGAAATGTTGCTGGAGACTCTCCTAAATGCCGTGACTTGGTCCTCGGCTGTGGGGCCTTGATGCCACTGTTGGCGCAATTCAATGAAAACGCAAAGCTATCTATGTTGCGAAATGCTACTTGGACTTTATCCAATTTTTGCCGGGGAAAGCCACAACCTTCATTTGAGCAGGTTTGTCTTTCTTTTAACACGAATGTTAGAGTTGTTATGACTCATTTGCTAATACGTTATGCCTTTTATATTTAATAAGCAGACAAAACCCGCTTTGCCAACTCTTGAACGACTTATCCATTCAAATGATGATGAAGTCCTTACAGATGTTTGCTGGGCTTTATCATATCTCTCAGATGGTACTAATGATAAAATCCAAGCTGTTATCGACGCAGGTGTCTGCCCCAGACTTGTTGAGCTTTTGACGTAAGTGTTTGAATTTTGATTTAATGTATTTGTTTTACTTAATTTTTATCTTTCATAGTAGTTATTTTTTATATCTGGATGTTTTGAATATTTTCTTACTCATTTCACCCTTGTTAGTCATTCATCCCCAACTGTCCTAATTCCTGCTCTTCGCACTGTTGGAAACATTGTTACAGGGGATGATATGCAGACTCAGGTATGGATTATTTGATAGCTACATCTTTACTATTATTTCAATTTCTCTCTCTTATGGTTTGTGACTTCATGCAACATACTATAAGGGAATCTGACTCATCTAATTCTTTGTTGCTTAAACCATATGGGGGCAGTTCTATCTTTTTATTTAGCATTAGTTTGACAGACTGCCAATACAGGTTTTTGAAAAAGATCTTTTCTTTTACTTTCATTTCCCTTCTTTGGGAACAGAAACATGTAGATAACAATTTTCTTAACAATATCAATGTAGAATCCATTGGCATGCTACTCAGCTAGATTTTTATACATACCATTGCTGAATCCATTATTGCGTTACTCAGCTTGGCTAGCTAGATATTTTTTACTTCACAACTACTTTAGTGTTGTATTGTTCATCTGATTTGATTATGTCAATAGTTTTTCTTGAAGACTTAAATCAGGTCATTTATTACTGAAGATTGACTTTTGTTACGAAAACTAACAATATTTTACTTGGTTTTCAGTTGACATTTAATTTGCATATGGAAAAATTTTAGTAATACAGTACACTTCAAATAAGACACTTCTAGGGAGGATTTAGAGCTGAAAGATTTGATGTAAAGATTGTAGGTCAAAACAAATTGCACATCTTCTATGATTCTATCATATTTTGTGTTTGGCTTCTTGATCGACAGATGATCAACATGCTCCTTGTCATGGTTGATTGACATATTATGAGGTAAATTGGTTATAGCTAATGTAACATTTGGATTGGACAGAATTGACAATTGTTAGGGCAATTTCTTGTGCTTTTCTTTGGACTGCAATTTTTGAGTTCATGTCACTGCCTTTGGGTTGCCTCACGCTTCAGTACTCAGATGCTTCATTTATCCCTCTTTCAGTGTATTATAAACCATCAAGCTCTTCCAAGCCTTCTGAACCTGCTGACAAATAACTATAAAAAGAGCATCAAGAAGGAAGCTTGCTGGACCATCTCAAACATCACTGCAGGAAATGTAGATCAAATTCAGGTAAGCCAATTTTTACAGTGTATGGCTTGTTAGTTTTCAGTTGTCATTTTTTTCATCTAGTTAGTATGAAATTCATTGAAGCGTGAATTTTGAAAATTCTTTGCAGGCTGTTATTGGGTCTGGCATTATAACCCCTCTAGTCCATCTACTTCAAAACGCAGAGTTTGAGATCAAGAAAGAAGCTGCCTGGGCAATTTCAAATGCTACCTCTGGGGGTACCCAGGAACAAATAAAGTATATTTCCTTTGTCTTAACCATTCTCTGGCTCTTGGTGCAAGTTCCCTTAAATAATTAATTTCTTTTGTTGTTTTCCAGGTTCATGGTAAGCCAAGGTTGCATTAAGCCATTGTGTGATCTTTTGAACTGTCCTGATCCAAGAATTGTCACGGTCTGTTTAGAAGGGCTTGAAAACATTCTGAAGGTCGGGGAAGCGGAGAAAAATTTGGGTCACACCAGAGAGGTCAATCTCTATGCGCAGTTAATTGATGATTCTGAGGGGCTGGAAAAGATTGAAAACCTCCAAAGTCATGACAATAATGAAATCTATGAGAAGGCAGTGAAGATTCTTGAAACATATTGGGTGGACGAAGAGGATGAGCCATTACCCCCCGGTGATGCTTCGCAATCTGGGTTCCAATTTGGAGGCAATCAACTTCCTGTTCCTTCTGGTGGATTCAGTTTCAGTTGAAGGTATGCATTTGAATAGTCCCATTACCATTCTTATTTTGATAAGAAAATAGTTCTCATAAGCCAGAGACTAGTCTGTTAGATTGCATTATTTTGTGTTTCTGGTCTGAAGCACGTCAGTATAGGGATGGTCAAAATACCCAAATTCGACGAGTTTCGACCCAACTCTATAACAATGTTTTTTTATTTTTGGGTTCGGGGTTATATAATAGAGAGCATCGGGGTTGGGATCAGGATGGGATTGGATTTAAGGTGAAAATCACCAACCCAATAGAAATTATTGAATTGCCCTTTTATGTGTAATATATTTAAGGTTTTTGGGATTTTTCTCTTTATAGTGTTGAAATATGATTCTTTGATTGTTTAAAATACCCAATAGATATATTATTCTGTTTAAAATATATTGTTTTAATTATTTTAAAGTATTAATATATCCGGGTCAAGTTAGGATTGTGGTTCTACTCCAAAAATTGGGGAAGGCTCGGGTGAAAGTAATGCATTTTTGGATAGGGGTTGGGGCGAAAAAAAAAACTGTTCTGCCCCGCCCTGTGCCCATTCCTACGTCAGTGTCACTTACAGCTTATGGCCCATACACAATGTGTAAAAGCAAATGGATGATGCCGTAGCAAGGCCTAATTGCTTAGTTGTAATGTGACGATAATCATGTGTTTAGTCAGGGATGGACTGAGCGGATTGACGGTGATGGTTGTCCTGTGAAAATTCCAAATATTCATATAATGTATATATGTATTAACAATTTATTTTCGTACCTTAAAATTTATAAGTTCCGTAACTTGGATGTCCTAACATGATTCAGAATTTTCAGGACACCGAAGTGATGCAGATATATGTTGTCAAGAAGTCATCTCAATAAAGACATGAGAAAAAGGATTTGTTGTCCTCACCTCTCACGGTAGTTAAATTCTTTTACAGCATACTAAGTAATGGGATGCAATGCTGCAGCTTCTTATTTTTCATTTTCTTTATCAGTCCCAACATAAGCTCCTGCTTATGTGAAAAAGGATGTATTTGCTTCCGTCATTTTATTACATTATTAGTTTTTGGATATTTCACTTTAGTTATATTTGGGGGTTCTTTCTGATCAGAAAGACTAAACCAATATCTGTTTTAAGAAGTGAAATTTATATGGTGTTAATCACATTAAAAATTAAATATTTATGAAGTGAAATGTTTGAAGTTAAATATAATCAAAATGGTCGTAAAATAAGAACGAAAACAATGTGAAAAAAGATAAAGTAGAATAATTTCTTTACGAGGTTTTGCTCCCTTATAATCTTCGACTCTATTTGATTTTTTTTTTCAACTTCAGAAAATGTGGATGATGCCAGGTTTAAAAAACAGCATAGGTTGATGGTTTGAATTTTAACAAACGTGGCGTCATCCCATGTTATGAGTGTGTCGAACACACTACATGAGCAAGCTAAGCGTAGGTTCAGGAATGTAATGTGCTTTCCATTTAATAGGTCGATGTTATCAATTGGCCAGAACAGAGCCAAGAGGATATTTTGTTTCCTCGTCTTTAAAGCATTGGCTAGTATGTATCTCTGAATGTAAAGCTTCATGGCCACTACAAATTTGAACAATGTTTTCACATGCATACCATAGAACTTGAACAGGTGCCAGACGACAAACTAATCGAGCTGTTTCCGGATAGCTGATCATAGTGTCTTGGCCTCAGCAAATCTGAGAAAAGAGCTGCCTTTGAAATCGAATCTGCCGTTTCTAGCACGATGCAATTTCGATAAAAGCAATCATGATGAAAATCTTGACCTCCTATTTTCCTTACCACATTGAGTTATGTGACACAAAAAACTGGAAATCGGGAAGATGGACTTGTAAACCGTGCAGACAGTTATTAGCAGCTTGTAACAGAGAGTTTGCTTGCTGCCATTCTTGGGAACAATTGGGAGTCAAAATCGAACCTCTCAACTTATAGGATGCAAGGCCGAAAACGGGTAGAGAGAGCTTTGAAGATGCATCTACACCACATATTTTCCTACTGCTAGAAGCAGGAAAATGTAGCTGATTTTTACCTGTCACTGCTGTAAAAATAAACGATAACGTTAACACAACATATAATGTAGCGTGGTCGTGATTGTAAATGAAAGAGAAATGGATATACTTCGAGAAGATGTTGACAAAGCATGGAAGGTCAAGAATGATGCAACCAGATTTTGTAGGGTTGGACCCATAGGTATTCTGTATATTGGGTACCTAACCAAAAAGGCATAATAAAAAACACATGCACAGTGAGTATAAAAGAACAGAGATTCGGCCAATTTTTAGAAGTATAAAGATGTCTACCAAGCCACCGAGATCCAACTTGTTGGCAATAAATCACAGCTCCTGTACATCCTGATCTCTGGAAATTGAGACGCAAGACTCGAAATCTGTTGGGTCAAGGAAAAAGTGCCACAAGCATTCAAGTGAGGGAAACAGACATTTGAAGAGAAAGAACTTGACATTCTACATCACCGACAACATGAACTTGCCTTGTCATATAAAGGTTTCCGATGGTGTGGTTGTTCTTGTTCAAAGTATTCAAAAACCAAAAGCCCGGGTGACTTACCAACCTCCATTTCATCACTAGATGAACTCTTAGGAGGTTTACTGATCCCATGGGAGTTGTGCTCCCCCCATTCTCCATCAACATCGCCTTTCACTCTCCTGTCTGTTTCACAGTCACTACTTCCAGCACTACTAGCTACTATTGGAGACTTGACATCACTATCCTCGCTAGCTCTCCTAATGGTTCAACACATAGTCAGATTTGCAGAATTAACGGTAAAGCAATTAAAAAAAAAAGCTCCACTGTTTGTTCATACAGATTATCTACTGCCAGGCATACAGCTCTTAGTTACAAGCTGGTCAGCCACCATCCAGAATAAGGTTTAACAACTTGGTTTTCCTCACAGAAATAGTTTCTTGTAGAAGCAGGAACTAAATCACTTATTTAGAAAACCAATGCTCCTGTCTTAACAAGCTTACTGTCATTGATACACTTCTGTCATACAATAAAATCATAGAGGAAGTGCGAGAGGAAAGCAAACCTGTGGTCTCCGTCGAGACCGGATTTACCATAAAATATTAACCATTACTTCAAGTGCATCAACGTGCATAAAGTAACTTTCAAGATTCACAAGAAAAAATGGGAAGCATATTCCCTTGTCAAAAGCCATGGCAACTAGAAAACATCTCAAATTAACATTAAGATCCGTAAGTAACGGAATATTTTAAGAAAATAAAGGCCTACAATTAAATAGCAGCATCTAATGTAAACAAGCCAACCAATCAGGATCAAAACAGTCGGGCTGTTTAAAGAGAGACATCATCGCGATACCAAGAGGAAGCATAAGAACCAGCAATGCATAATAATCAAGAAGTTTCTCTGCACCATGTGGCTAAAATGGCACAATAAAAAAAGCATACATTCTACTGTCATATTTGCAGGACTTTATGAGTTGGCAAGTGGACAACTCCAATAGAAAGATATGGTAGTAAGAAGCTTACCTAAGCCTATGTGGATCTACGTACAATTGAATGCCTGACAAGGAAGGAACGTAGTATTGCTTAACCGAATCACTCCCATTCAACAGTAGTGGCACTCCAACTCCATATACACTCCACTCACTAAAACATTCCCATAGGTCGCCCAGACAAAAGTACGGGGGTAAATTTACTTCTTGAGTTCTCCGTCCCCTCATTTTTGCCTATCAAACCAAAAGCAAAAGGGGAAAAAAGGAACATAAATGAATGCCATGAATCAGAAACTAAGACACCTTAGTTTCAACAAATTAGTAAGAGAATATATGAAGAAATTTCCTTCAAACTCTCCCCTGAAGTCTGAACGTAGCTTCAGAAAATAAGAAATGCCAATTCAGCTAGTCAGTTTTTGATAATAAATGGAAGGAAAAATAATTGAGAAAAAACAATGATTCTTTTATTTTCAAGAAGAAGACTCGGCAATGTTGTTAGAAACAAGATTAATCTAAATCATCCTATGACTTCAGCTCAGTTGGTAAGAGCGCAAGGCTCTTAACCTTGTGGTCGTGGGATCGAGTCTCACGTTGGACAATTCATAATTCTGAGTGTCTCCCACGGAATCTGAGTGCCTCCCACGGAAGCTGCTCTCAACCTGGCGTTGGGGCAGCCTACTATCCTAACTCCCTCTTACCCCATTACATATGGGAATAGGGTCAGCTTTTATCCTATTACTTCAGGAGCACAAGAATGGAAGTCATAGTAAAACCAAGACCCTAAACCATTATAATTAGTACTAAGAAAGGCCGTTCTCTACTGAAATTTATAATAAACTGAACATAGCATTTCTAAAAAAAATAAATATTGAAAGTCATTCTATTACACTCCAAAGAATGACGCTTATCTCAACTTAATCTCAGGTTGGCCCAAACAAAAGCAGAATTAATTAGCTCTCCAAGATTTCGCTTCCGTTTTTTTTCTTTCCTCAGCCACCAGAGAGGTAAACAAAACTCAAAATATAATTTTCAGTACTTATATTTAGAACTTATTTAGTTGCATTTTTTTTTCACAATACCTCAGGGAAGCACTGAACTGGTACAAGAGGAGTGACCGATTCCATAAGCCGATCCAAATTGGTCAAACTAGCAATCTCCGGCACGGAGGTGCAGGCCAAGTCAGGCCTCGACAATGTAGATTCGTCCGAATCCGTTCGAGGCTCAGCCAGTGAATCGACCAAGTTGACCCGGCTCTCCTCCTTCAACGGCATCTGCGGCTCCTTCTGCAACGGCCCGTGTAGCTGCTGCCTCTGCAACTGCTGTTGCCGCCTCACCGTCGGTGGATTGTAGAATCGGTCCCCCGTCTGAGTTCGGGTCACCGCGAACCCTCCCGAGTTTGACATCCTACAATTAAATCTACTAGTATAAAGAATGGAAGTTTTGCAGCTTTTGCAGGATTTACTGAAATTGATGAGACACAGAGGGAACTACAGGCTTTTGTTGAGGGTTTCAGTAGGCAAAAAATTGATGACGAGAGGGAAAGGAAAACGCCATTTCCATCAGTACTTCTGTTTGCTTCGTTTCTCTACTGCTATTTTCATTGTCTGTGTTTCTTTTTTTTTCCTCGAAATCTCTCCTCTCTCGACTCAAATTAGTGTTTGGAGTATATTCCATGCATAATATTTTTGACGATAAAGAAGATTATGGTATTTTATTTTTTAGAGAAAATCGCCTCAGTGACCAAAAATGCCTTATAATATACGATTTTAACCAACTTTTTTTTGATTTGCCAAAATAACCAACAAAATCGCAACGCGATATCAAAACCGCAACGCGATTTAGAAAAGCGCAACGTTGAAAAGAAGATCGCGTTGCGATTCTTGGAAGATCGCGTTGCGATTTTATGAATCGCATTGCGATTCTTGCATAAATGAATAATAAAACCATTATATTAGGAAATTTTATTTTATAAGAAATACGTGGTATCCATTTAAATTTGTAGATGAAAGTAATTGATTATATTATTTTTTATATCCTTGAGTTAGAAAATATTTAATTGTTTGACCGTATAATGAATATGATAGCGCGGTTTTTTAATTTGGATTTTTCTTTCTTATATAATAAATTGAGTTTCGTTTATATTATGCGATAGATATAAAATAGGATAAACTACACGTTTATTATCTTAATTAAATTTTTTCTTTAATTAGTAAATAAATTTTTAATATAGAAAATATGTTAATTGAATTATTATTTAAAAGTTTTATAATTAAATTTTATATATTTATTTTATTAAAATTTAATTAAGATAATATTTTATTTAAAAATTTTAATTGATTGTCATCTAATCGGACAGAATCAATTTATTATAAGAACAAAGATAAATTTATTTTATAATTTATAATTTATAAAATAAAATTAATTATATATAATTAAATTAATCTTTTTATAATCAAAATCGTTCATCTTAATAATTTTATTTTTAAAATTTAAACATAAGATATCCCTTATCCTATGATGTGTATTTGATTCACAGCAGTTATTTCGTTGAGAACATTTCCTAAATTTCTGGTATTTAGCTAAAGAAAATACATTAGGTCAATGGACATTAACATGTCGGTCAACAAGAAAAGGCAAGCATTTGCAGTTAACAAAGTGTATAATAAATTTTTTTTTAATAATTTAAGATGATTATAATATAAATAAAAATTTCTTTAATTATTGATAATGCATAATACACCCACACCATAGACATAGTTACTTAATCTCAAAACCTCTAAAGAGTAATATTTCTTTTAATCACTAAGATTGTGTTCGATAAAAAATATTAAATAAAGTAAGATAATTTTTTATATAAATAGAAACATCTAGTTTTACTAAAAACTAGATAAAATTCAACATATCAAACATATAATTAGGACATATCTCTACAACCATTAACACATAAAATAGTCACTTTGAGATTATATAAGGACAATTAGGAATGGCAACGGGGCGGGTTTTGCTCGCCCCGTCCCCAAACCCGAAATGAATCCCCGTTCCTGACCCGATCTCTAACGGGTTTTTTTTATCGGGGCACCCCGTTAGGGATTTTTTTTGCCCCGTCCCCGAACCCGACCCGAAATATTATACCCAAACTCGAACCCGAAAATATTTTATATATAATTAATATAAAATATTTTATATATAATTGGGGCGGGGCGAGGATACCTTGCCCCGAACCCGACCCGAAAAAATCTCTGAACCCAAACCCGACCCGAACTTGACCAGATTTCAGGTTTCCCCGTCGGATTCGGGTCAGACTGTTATCCCTAGGACAATATAAAAAAATGGTTAAAATATATCTAAAAAACTCGAACAAAAGATAAATATGAACATATCTGACTACATAAACTAACCACAACAAGGGATTAGACTATTGAAATATCACTGACAATTGCAAATCAGAATTAAGCATTGTGAGAAAATTATTTATGACTACAAATCACATATTTAGATTTAATTTAATAGTCCAAAACAAAGATGATTAACATAATATTAAATAAGTGTTATTTTAATTAATTAAAACATCATCAAATTCAATCAAGATAAAATTAAATAAAAAATCAACCGATGGAACTTATAAAATTATACAATAATTTTTAAAAATCATGTAAACTACACTATGATTTCTGAAAATTGTGCAGCGTATTCTCTATACAGCTTGCATGCACATTAATTAACAACGATCCAACCCGAACACAACCATCCTATCAAGCGACGCAGAAGAGCAGAGACACTGGGCACTGGGCACTGGGCACTGGGCACTGGGCACTGGGCAGCAACATTGGGCAGGCTAAAATGGTTCATAAATAAGGGCATTGCATGATTAATTTAAACAATAAAATTACTCGAAGAAAAAACAAAAGAAGAAAGGAACACAAATTCTAAGCATAACTTAGAAGGCAATATTTTGTTGTAACTTTTTTATTTTTGTTTTAATTTTTATTTAAATTATATGATTTTAATCAATAATTTTGATAAATTATGTTATTTTTAGTTTAAATAAGTTTAGTTTAAAATTTCCTAAATTAATTTAAATTATTTATATGTGTAAAAGTAGTTGTAGTTAAAAATTATGGTTTAAAAAATATATATTCAATTTGTCGGAACTGTCTTTCGGTTGGGCCCCGAAATTAGGCTTCGACTTGAATGAATTGGGTTGGAGTCGCCACCGACCACTTTAAAATGAATTTAGGTGGGTCGGACACCATTTTACCTGATCTGCGTTGAACCAGAAACGTGTCGGGTTCGGGAGTCTGTTACGGTCAATGACGGATTAGCACCCTTGAACCGCCCTTTCGGTACCAATTAATTTGTCGGTTGTCTTTAATTGCGAAAATTAAAAATTAAAATTAAAATTATTCTATTCGAATTACTCACCCTTAATTGACTGGAGTTTCTAAAAAAACAATCGAAAATGTTAGAAAAAAGATAATAAATAAATGTTTAAAAAATATATAAATAATATAAATATAGATAAAAAAATATTAAATAAATAAAAAAACAAAATAATAAAGGAAAAGAAATGAAAAGAAAAAAAGGAATAAATAAAATAAAATGAAAGGGGAAAAATAAAAAATAGTTTAAAAATAAAAGTTAAATAAATAAAAACGTTAATTAAAAAAATAGGAAAAAGAAAAAGAAAGAAAACAAATGAATTGTGTTAGTGACTGAAATATACTACGCGTAAAATTATAAGTCATAATTAAAAATAACGAAAACTAAAATCAGTGACCAAAATGTAAACATTACAAATTATAGGAACTGAGAGCACGTTTTACCCATGCGCGAAATTACAGCAAGGTCCCTCTAGCGAAACGGCGTAGTTTTGAAATATATATATATATATATATAACTAAGGCTTAGCTAAGCCTCACCCTCCATTTGTTACAGTCCTCGAAAATGAAGGGAGAGAGAGAGAGTTGAAGACTCTCTCAACTCCTCGTCGGAGAATAAGGTCGGCCCGTCGCTTGCCGCTCCTCCGGCTGCCACCACCGGTGGCTGAAAAATCTCGAATCACCCAGAGCACTCCTCTCCACTCCGGGAACCCAAATCCGAGCCTCAAACCTAAAAAAAACTCCAAACAACGTAGATCTAAAACGCAAGTCTCGGTTTTTACCCTTTAAAACAGGCGTCTCGACTCTTCGGCTCTCGGTGGCCCTTCGTGGCTGATATTTTGGTTTTTTTGTTGTGTATTGGCTTGCTTTATTTTCTGTATTGTTTGTTTCGAGTTTGCTCCCGGTTTCCTCTATTTGTTGGTTCTGTTTTCGTACTGTTGATATCTTGGTTTACTGTGTTTTGTGGATGTTGTTCTCTGGGGTGCTTTGTGCACTGTTGATGATTCCTCTTTGCGTTGATGGTTGTTCTGTGGTATTTATATAGCCTCGTTGGGGGGCTATTGTCAGCTATTTCTGGGATAATCCCAGATATTCTGGGGTCATCTGTTCGTGGTTTACGTTCTGTGGTTGACCGACCATCCCGGGATGGGTCAGTCCCGGGATAACCAGCCGGTTGTTTCGGCGTTTGATGCGTGTGATTGATATTACGTTCTCGTAAGTTCTCTCCAAGTGGTGTCGTGTTTACTGGCTTGTGAACCCTAATTCCCATTTGGGCCTCCCACAGGGCCTGCTTGCTGGGCCAGGCTTACAGGCTCGGTTGGGCCTTGACCCGAGCCTTGACATTGGACATGGAAAGAAAAATAAAATAAAGTTAATAAAATAAAATAAAATAAATAAGGAAATAAGTAATAATAATAATAATAATAAAATAAAAATATTTTCAAAACCCTATATAATATATATTCTTAAAAATATTTTAAAAACTATATATTATATTTATTTTCAAAATGTTTTAAAAACTATATAATATATATATTTTCAAAAATGTTTTTTAAATATATATATATATATATATTATTTATTTTCAAAATGTTTTAAAAACTATATAATATATATTTTAAAAAATGTTTTAAAAACTATATATTATATTTATTTTCGAAATTTTTTAAAAACTATATAATATATATATATTTTCAAAAATGTTTTAAAAATTATATTTATTTTCAAAATATTTTAAAAACTATATAATATATATATTTTAAAATGTTTTAAAAACTATATATTATATTTATTTTAAAAATGTTTTTAAACTATATATATATATATATATATATATATATATGTATACATATAAAAAATGGGACGAAAATGAGTGTCTACAGCTGCCTCTCTTTGTATTTTTTTCGTGGAACGAAAAATATGACAAAGATAAAAAGACATAAATTTTCGTTCGGTGGAGTTGAAGAATAATTCCCTGTCGAATTAAGTTGTGGATGGCTCCTCCGTCGCGAAGTCGAGTCCATTTTGAAATGATATGGAATTGAAACCGTAGTTCGAAATTTGAATCGAGATGCGGCTTCTCGTTGCCCAAACGTAGTCAACCTTGGTCATCTTCTCGGTTTAAAGACCTTGGTTAAAACTTCGACTGGAAAGTAGTTCATTTACTTCACCATGTAGTTGATAGGCCCTCTAGCTGAATGAAATCGAACTCGAAAGGTCTTCGTTGACTGATAGCTTTTCTCGACTTAAGTTATGCTGTCGAAAAACAGTTTCTTGTCACTAAGGCACGGTTAACCCAGGTCTTCTTCTCAACTTGAAAACCTTGATTGCAGCCGGACAGTAGTGTGATTGAGGCATCATTGAGCTGAATAGAATCAAACTCGACAATTTTATTGACAAATATCCCTTCTTGCCTTGAGCTATGCTGTAAATGATGTGCCTTGGAGCTGAGCGTAGTCGAACTCGAAGGTTTTTTGGTCACAGATAACCCTTCTAGGCTTGAGTTATGCTGTAAATGATATGTCGTTGTGCTGAGCGTAGTCGAACTCAAATGACTTTTATTGGCAGACAGCCCTTCTAGACTTAAGTTGTGCTGCAAATGATATGCCTTGGAGCTGAGCGTAGTCGAACTCGAAGGTCTTTGGCAGATAGCCCTTCTCGACTTAAGCTATGTTGTAAATGATGTGTCATTGAGTTGAGCGTAGTCGAACTCGAAGGTGTTTGGTAACAGATAACCCTTATAGCCTTGAGTTATGTTGTAAATGATATTCCCTCGAAGCTGAGTGTAATCGAACTCGGGGGTCTTTGGCAGGTAACCCTTCTCGACTTAAGTTATGCTGCAAATGATGTGCCTTGGAGCTGAGCGTAGTCGAACTCGAAGGTCTTTGGTTGGCAGATAACCCTTATCGACTTAAGTTATGCTGCAAATGATGTACCCTCGAAGCTGAGTGTAATCGAACTCGGGGCTCTTTGGCAGATAACCCTTCTCGACTTAAGCTATGTTGCAAATTATATGCCTTGGAGCTGAGCGTAGTCGAACTCGAAGGTCTTTGGTTGGCAGATAACCCTTCTCGACTTAACTTATGCTACAAATGATGTGCCCTCGAAGCTGAGTGTAATTGAACTCGGGGGTCTTTGGCAGATAACCCTTCTCGACTTAAGTTATACTGCAAATGATGTGCCTTGGAGTTGACCGTAGTCGAACTCAAAGGTCTTTGGTGACAGATAACCCTTCTAGCCTTGAGTTATGCTATAAATGATGTGCCCTCGAAGTTGAGTGTAATCGAACTCGAGGGTATTTGGCAGATAGCCCTTCTCGACTTAAGCTATGCTGCAAATGATGTGCCTTGGAGCTGAGTGTAGTCAAACTCGAAGGTCTTTGGTTGGCAGATAACCCTTCTCGACTTAAGTTATGCTGTAAATGTTGTCTTTAAAAAAATGGTTTCCCTTCACATGTCTAAGCCGGTCATAGTTCTTCAGGTGGTTCCTCTGAGAGGGTCTGAACCAAGTGAGATGATATTTAAATGACTCCCTTTTACAAGAAAGTCCACTGATAAATTTTGTCAGCCAGATATCTTCCGTCGTGGAATTGAAATCTGGCTTGAAAGTGTTAACTGAAAACATATTTATCATGGTGAGTTTGAGCTGAACTGGATTTGATCTGAATTGGTTCTCAAACCTATCTGAGATCCGTGGATATGTCAAATCGGTTGAGTTGTAGTTTCTTACTGCTGAGTTAAACAACCACCGTCGTTCTTTAAAGGCGCTTTCGAATCAAGTATCCTTCATCCTGAAGTCGAAACTTGACTCCAAAAGCTGCAGAAATCTTGTATGCTAAAATGATGAATGTGATGCACCTAGGTATGTTTAAGATGCATGCAACATGAATGAATAATGTTATCTATTGGATGGAGTCCCGTGTTTTGTCTGCCAATCTGGTCCATGGAATCGACCGTGCCACATCATTTTTCAAGCTTGGACTTTACAGACCCTTCATATATGAGACCGCTCTGTTGGAAAATGTTTCTCATTTTTCTTGTTTTAGGAGGGAAAATGATAAAAATGATGTAAAATATTATTTGCAATTGAATCAAATTGTAAACGTGAGTTCAAAGAATATCAAAGGAATCAATAGCTCTTTTAATGCTTTCAGAGTTACAATTCTTTGAAAAATGTTCAAACGGATAAGTTGACTTTAGGTTGGCTTCATTTCTAAGGTTTTGTTAACCCAAAATGTTATTTTTTTGAAATATCGCAACATGCTTTGGTATTTCAATTGGGTGCGGACAAAATGACGCAATTAACATGATTAATTACTAGACCTTTTATTTCCGTCCTCTGAAATCTTCCATTTGTCCAAGCCTCGTAAGCTCCTCTAACAAAGGTAGTCTAGAAATATCGGTCTAAAAATGAAATTCCTGAGTGCTTGTGTGAAGTTGACTATAACAGGTGTTCCTTAACTCCCTTAGTCCATAATTACCGAAAATTTCTTGCTTAGATAAATTTGATTTAATTTGTCGTTATCTGACTAGCTGAATCCATAAAGCCAGGGCGTTTAACCAATTGCTTTAGAGGGATAACTTAACATTATAATCAGTTTTATCAAGTTAACTGAGGGGTTCATCTCATCACAAAGTCTTCGGCCGAATAATAACAGTGGAGCAAACACCGAATTTCCCAGTGTTCGAGCAATGTCATGGTTTAAACGTAATCTACTCATACGGCCAGGGCTTTCAAGTTTCCTCTATAACCAATTGCCTTAGTGGAATAGCTCAGCTTTACAGATTTAATTTCTTAGGATTTTCAAGAAGAACCTATTATAGTCTAAGTGTTGTTGAAATTCAAAAATTTTATCTTTAGAGTTCAAATTTCAAGCAACTAACCTAAACTAGATTCACTTACTCGACTATTTCATCTGTAAAGATACTGATCATCATTGAATGTCTTAAATAAAAGTATAATAATGTCATATGCAAAATGATGCCCCATGTTGTCCGCACCTTATGAAAAGAAAAGGTTATATTAGTTAATTGCAAGAGCAGGGTACGATGTTTGAGTGTATATTCTGGGTAAAGTCAAATTACTTGTTGTAGCTTTGAACCATTTACAGAGTTTCTTAATTCAAATAATATTCAAAGAATTGCAAGTTTGCAAATGTGATTCGTTGCTTAACATCTTTAAAGTAACATAAATTTATTTAAAAGTCCTTACAAAACTTGAGAAAAAGTGGGAAAAAAAACAAGGTCAAACAGAATGCCTCAAATGATGAAATGATATTCCTCACTTGGATTCCCCCAAGTTGTTGAAGTCGATCCAGTTCTAGTTACGCATCTTCTGTACGACTCTCTTGAATGCGTAACAGTTCTCAATAGTGTGCCCTGGGACACTACCGTGATATTCACAATGAACATTCTCATCATACCACTTGGGGTACGGGGGCTTAATGGGTTCCACCGGATATGGTGATACTACGTGGGTGTCAAGAAGTTGTTGATACAGTTCTTTGTATGTCATCGGAATAGGGTCGAAATGTTCCATTTCCTTCATGGGTTCCCTAGAATCTTGTTTAGAAGTACCTGACGGCACAGCTGTAGTTGATTTTGATTTGGAGATTGTAACACCTTTATTGACATGGTTGATGTTGTTAATCTCTCTATCCCGCTCTCGCATTGAAGGTTTCCTACTGGCCTCACTATCCTTAATTTTACATTGCTTTATGGCCGACTCTATAATTTCTTCGGCCATAACCAAGTCTGAAAAGCTTCCTAATGTGATCGCAACCAGATGCCCAAAGTATGGAGCATTCAGGGTCTGTACGAAGAGCTTTCGGGTTTCCTTTTCATCCAACGATTAATGAACTTGCACAACCAAGTCCCTTAATTTTTATGCGTATTTCCTAAAACTCTCATTATGCTTCTTTTCCATGCTTTGTAGTATAACTCGATCTGGCCTTATGTCATTGACATGCTTGTATTGTTTCAGAAATGACTTGGTCAGGTTCTTCCAGGTCTTGATATTTGATCGACTTAACTGGTTGTACCACCGAATGGTTGAGCCCGACCGACTCTCCTGGAAGCAGTGGATCAAGAGTTGGTCGTTTCCTCCATATCCTGTCATTTTTCGGCAGAACATGGTGATGTGAGCGGATGAACAACTGTTCCCATCAAACTTCTCAAATTCCAGGGACTTGAATTTTGGAGGAAAAACTAAGTCTGGGACTAGACTGAGTTCCGCAACATCAATTCCATGGTAGTCATGGTCTCCTTTAACTACCTTCATTTGATCCTCTAATTTCTTGATTTTCTCCTCTATCTTCCTTGATTTGTCATCTTCGTCTGAATCCAGTATATGATAATAACCCAGATTGTTCTCATGGTTAAATATAGAGGCCGAGGGCTTCGCTTTTGTAGCAGATGAGTCCCCTCGAAGTTCCAGTAAGATTTCAGGTGAGACAACTACTTGTGGGGTAGGTGGTATAGTTACCCCTTCCGGTGAACATGCCCCAGGCACACTAGTCTGTTATAAGTCAACTAACTTGGAAACGATCTTATTAACCAAAGAATCTTGGTTCTTCATGATTGTATTCAGAGTACTCAGACTACTCTGGCTTATCTTGTCTTCAAGTTCTTTCTGCAATTTTTCCATGTTCTCCTCAATTTTCTCCATTCTTGCTTCCATCTTCTTCTTTTTCAGGCGGCTATTATGCGGATGGGGCGTGTCCTGAGCTTGAGGTGGTATCTCCAGTATTTGTTCCTTTCCGATGAGACATGTTTCCGTTAGTTAATGTGAATGCAAATAAAATAACAAAATGCAAAATATCTAAATGCATGATGCATGAATTGTTCGAGGCATTAATCCAAAAATGCGTATGTTATTAGAAATAATCCTTTTTGGGATAAAAGTGTTTTATCTTTTAAGAGACAAAAAATATTCTGACAGCTTCTGACATGTTGACTAGTCTTCCACCTTCATCCGTCACCGGTTGAATAACTTGTCAAACCGCTCTGGCTTCTCTGGATGAACAATGCAAATGATGAGTTGTTTGCCCCAAAAAAAAAGTCTCGAAGGACTGCACCTCTGGCATTTATCTTTTATTGAGCATGTTCCCAACAAATACGTCATTGGAGCCCTTAATTGATAGAAACTATGTGAAGTCCATTTGTTTGTTTCTTGAATTCGTCAGCAATGGTCTCCAATTTCAGTTATCGTTTTGCCATTGTCAACTTTGAAGTGACTCCTAAGATCAGTTACCTTCATCTTGCCCCTGTAACCTCTGTTAGTCAGTTCTTCAAAGATAGACTTTTATTGTGCTTGATGTAGACCCAGTTCATTCTGAGTCCTTTATAATGAAGCAAAGTGATATACTCTTCAATTGTGGGTACCACGTCTTCTGGATTGAATGTGATACATAATCGCCTTGTAGAATGTCCTATGCATTTTCATCTCTTGTATTACAACCCCTTTGTCCATTAATGCAGATTATTCATGTTTAACAAACACGTTTTTGGTGGATCAACACCTCGTTTTAAATGATGCGAATGATGAAAACAAAATAAAGAAGAACAAAAAATAAAAAGACTTAGTGAGGTAAATCAAAACAATAATAAAAATGAAAAATCTTACCCCACATGATATCTACCACACATGCTTTAATTCCTACCTGGACATGATCTCTATCTCGCATGCTAATTTCAAACAAATCCTAACCGTATATTTGTCTAGTTCGCATGCTTTGAACATAAAATAAAGCAGGAAACAAAGTAGCCTAGGGTTTTGAATGAGGTATTGGGGTGGGCTTTAATTCCCTGTACTCTCCCGGTTTAGGTTATAAAAAGGTACTTGAGTTCTCCTTGTTGGTGCCCCCTTGGGGTTGCCAGACCCTTAGTCCTAAACCCATCACAGGCTTGTGTGGACTAAGTTAAACTCGAGAGGACACATTCCCTTATGTCTATAAAGAGAATAAATTCACACGAAGACATAAGGTATATGAATCTCGAAGGTTACTTGCCAGGCTTATGCGGTGAATAAATTCACACGAAGGCGGCGCTCTCACCCCCACTTAAAAGGGTTTGGAGCTCGGGTATAGAGCTAGAGATGAAAAATGTGAAAATCTGAAATCATTAAAAAACGTTAGTACAACTATTTATTTGAAAAATAATCAAAGATAAATAATTAGAATCGAATAAATAAATTAAAATTTATAACTTTCGCTAAAAAAGACAACCGAAAATTAATTTCGGCCTGACTCACTTACCTGTCCCCAACGGAGTCGCCAGGCTGTTAGAATCGTCTTTCGGTTGGGCCCCGGAATTGGGATTCGACTTGAATGAATTGGGTTAGAGTCACCACCGACCACTTTAAAATGAATTTAGGTGGGCCGGACACCATTTTACCTGATCTGCGTTGAACCAGAAACGTGTCGGGTTCGGGAGTCTGTTACGGTCAAGGACGGATTAACACCCTTGAACCACCCTTTCGGTACCAATTAATTTGTTGATCGTCTTTAATTGCGAAAATTAAAATTATTCGATTCGAATTACTCACCCTTAATTGACTGGAGTTTCTAAAAAAACAATCGAAAATATTAGACAAAATATAATAAATAAATGTTTAAAAAAATAGATAAAGAATATAAATATAGATAAAAAAATATTAAATAAATAAAACAAAATAATAAAGGAAAAGAAATGAGAATAAAAAAAAGAATAAAATGAATAAAATGAAAGGGGGAAAATAAAAAAAATAGTTTAAAAACAAAAGTTAAATAAATAAAAACGTTAATTAAAAAAATAGGAAAAAGAAAAAGAAAGAAAACAAATGATTGTGTTAGTGACTGAAATATAATATGCGTAAAATTATAAGTCATAATTAAAAATAACAAAAACTAAAATCAGTGACCAAAATGTAAACATTACAAGTTATAAGAATTGAGAGTACATTTTACCCGTGCGCGAAATTACAGCAAGGTCCCTTTAGCGAAAAGGCGTAGTTTTGAAATATATATATATATATATATATATATATATATATATAACTAAGGCTTAGCTAAGCCTCACCCCCATTTGTTACAGTCCTCGAAAATAAAGGAGAGAGAGAGAGAGAGAGAGTTGGAGACTCTCTCAACTCCTCGCCGGAGAAGAAGGTCGGCCCGCATATATATAAAACTAAGGCTTAGTTAAGCCATGTAACAACCCGATTTTCAAAATAATATTTAATTAAAATTTGAGGGTTTAATTGTGAAAATTTGGGACTGAATTGAAAGATTTTAAAACTTGGAGCTTGTTTTAAAGTTAAAGAAAATTTAGGGACCAAGCCCTGAATTTAACCATGGAGTGTCGGCAGACAATTGATATATGCGTGATTTCTGTTTTGAAAAACAGAAATCAATTTCACAAATCCTTCCTCACGCACACAACTTCCAAACTCGATTCCGACGCCGTCCGAATTCCGATCGTTGTTTTGAAACCACCGTTGTGTTCATCATCGAGCGAGGAGCAAAACCTTCAAATTAATTGAAGCGAAACGCGACCAAACGTCGGGAATTTCCAGTCAAAGTAGCGACGGTTTTGTTAGCTCTATCGCCGAGAAAATCTTAAATTCACCGCTGATCGTTGCTCTGTTTACGACACCTCCCGCACCATCGTGTTCCTTGTGCCGTTCCGAGTTCACCGGTGTCAATCTTGTCCGCCGTAGACGGCGGCGCGTGAGGAGGTGGTGCAGTCAAAGATTCGGCCGATTTGAAATCGAGCTCTCCGCCGTTCAAAAATTTGAACCGATCGTTGTAAGTATCTTGAAATCGCTCAAAATAATTTTTAGAAATTTTTCTGGGATTTTTAGGGCCCCGGAGGACGCCTCACGCGCCACACGCGCCGCCGCAGGGCGAGTGGCTGCTGGAAACCGGTTTGACCGGTTTTCAACCGGTTCTGACCGGTTTGACCGGTTTCAACCGGTTCGAACCGGTTTGACCGGTCTGAATCGGTTTGACCGGTCTGACCCGACCCGACCATTGACCCGACCCGACCGTTGACCCGACCCGACCGTTGACCGTTGACCGTTGACCGTTGACTTTCTTTGACCAAAACTTAAAATGGCTTTGACCGAGCATTAAACGACCGTTAATCTTTTCCGAGTATACCTATCCTGATAGTTTTCGACGTGCCGAATCCGTTTCCGTGGTCTGTTTTGTCAAATTCAAATCCGAAGGTCTCCAAATCTACGGTCAAAGTGGTTGACTTTGACTTTGACCAAGAATCTGAATTTTCAAAAAGTCATACTTTATGTTTTTCGACGTCCTGATTCCGATTCCGCAGTCCGTTTGGCCAAATTCAGACTCGAAATACCCCAAAATGATAGTCAAACCCAAAAAATGCTTATATACTTAAGAATTCTAGCTTTGAACAATTAAGTAAGATTTGAGGCTGATTAATTATTATTGTTTGAAGGTACAAGAGACTCTCCGGATCGTTCGATAGCTCGACCCAACTCTTCTAGATCAGTTAAACCACGTATACCAGTATTCACTCGTAAGACTCGTAAATTTTATGATTTTAGAGATTTATTTATGTTACCCATTAGTAATATAGTGATATTATAAATTAGGTTCGAAAACTGTAGCAGAGCGTGGTGAAACCAGCAATCAGTAGATCCACGATTTGAACATATTATCAAGGTGTGTTCCCTATTTATTACTGAACTGTTTTATTTGTTTTAATATGTGGTACACTGAATTCTTTGGTTTTCGTATTGTTGATGCACCGATTTAATGTGATGATTTATGGATTATGACTGTTATCTAATAATTGTTTTGAAATGGTATATGATTACCATGTTTATGGATTTATGGAATTTATAACACGGTGCAATTGAATTTTTGGAATACGAATTTATAAAGTACAGCTCTGATCAAGCTGGAAAATTTTACAGACCTAATGTGACTCTTAGGTAGGCTCTGCGGCCCTGAGATTATTCTCGGGTAGGCCCTGCGGCCCTAAGATGTGTTCTTAGGTAGGCCCCACGACCCCGAAATCTATCTTGGGTAGGCTCTCAGGCCCTAAGATGTTCCCTTAGGGTAACGCTTTTTAAAGAGATTTACTGCAGTATACTTTTATGAGACTTATTGGACTATGATTTGTTTAGTGTACCTATAGTGATTTTATGGTAATATTGGGACACACTGAGCCTAGCTCACTTTTCGAAAATATTTTCCCCATTTCAGATACTGTTGGTTAGTTACCCTGGATTGAGCACTTGGAGGATCAACTATATAATATATATATTTTCAAAAATGTTTTAAATTATATTTATTTTTAAAATATTTTAAAAACTATATAATATATATTTTTCAAAATGTTTTAAAACTATATATTATATTTATTTTAAAAATGTTTTAAAACTATAATATATATATATATATATATATATAAAAAAAGACGAAAATGAGTGTCTACACAATTATTTGTAGTTTAAAATTTATTTAAGTTAAAAGTTAGGGTTTAGGGTTTGGATATATATTTAATTAGTTGTAGTTTAAAATTAATTTTAGTGACCAATGAAAGAAATAGAAAAAAAAACTGAAAAATCAACCCACTAAAAAGTTAGGATTTAAGGTCAATTTAACTGTCAAATAAAAAAATATTTTTTGTTTTGACCTCTTCAATTTTAATTTTTTAATTTGGTCCTTAGGATACAAATATATAATTATAGCCAAAATCAAACTCCTCTGACAATTACCATCAACTTTGACAACGTCGGTTACAAGTTAAAAAACGAACAACATTATATTTTAGGGTAAATTATAGTAATTGTCACTGAACTTTTCTAAATCTTTTATTTAGGTCCCTCAACTTTTAAAACTTGTAATACAACCTCCCAATATTTAGTTGTTTAAATATGACCCCAACAGTTACATCGAGGACCATATTTTAAACGGATTAAATATTGAGGGATCATATTGCAAATGGACTAAATGTTGCTGAATTATATTGTAAGTTTTAAAAGTTGGTGACCTAAATGAAAGCTTTAAAAAAGTTCAGTGACCATTACTATACTTTACCCTTAACTTTATCACAAGCCTTCTCATAATCCAATCCAAACCTATTCCTGCGGTGAACAATCACCGACCAAAGTCCTCCGTTTGCTTTGCTAACATCCAAATGGGGATGTCTCAGGAAAGGCGGGTTAATATACGGCTAATATACAGCATTACCGGATACATTAAAATGTATTTAATAAATTCGGTTTAGCGGTACCTATTATGTTGACAACTAATAATGTTTTAGGTAGAAAATATGAAAAACTATTAAAAAATTTGGTAACCGGTAAACTTTGGTTATCGGTAAGTATCTATCCTTTTTATAAAAGTGTCCATACGTTTAACATATCAAGTAAATTTTACCGGTTTTGTCATAATGAATCTGGTTTTGTCATATTTTTACTTGTTATATTGTAAATTATCTATCCTTTTTATAAAAGTGTCCATACTTATTTCACTGTGAAAATATATTTATTATTATCTTTAGTTAATATTGTTAAATTTAAAATCTAAATAATATTTTATAAAATATCAAAACAATCAAATAATTTTTTGTGTAAATGAAATTATTAAATTAATATTGTAGGTGGAAAACATGAAACACTATTAAAAAATTTGAAACATAAATTACATAACTTTCAAAAAAGTATATATCATTTTTATAAAAGTGTTCATACTTATTTCACTGTTGAAAACATATTTATTATTATATTTGGTTAATATTGTTAAATTTAAATGCTAAATAATATTTTATAAAATATCAAAACAATCAAATAAAATTTTGTGTAAATTAAATTATTAAATTAATATTGTAGGTGGAAAACATGAAACACTATTAAATAAATTGAAACATAAATTACATAACTTTAAAAGCAGTTTTAAATCCTAAAAAGTGTCGATACTTTTAAAAAATATATCGATCCAAAACGATATACCAGGTAAAAATATGATAAAACCGGTAACAAAATGATAAAACCGGTAAATTTAAAAGTGTCGATACGTTATATAAGGATCGACACTTTGTGAATTTAAAAGAGAAGCAGTTATAGCGCCTATAATGTGTCGATACTTTAAAAAAAAATATCGATCCACAACGATATAACAGGTAAAAATATGATAAAACCGGTATCAAAATGATAAAAACGGTAAAATGATACCGGATATATTGAAAGTGTCGATACTTTCGTAAGTACGTGTAATAAATTATCGACACTTTCAAAGAAATAGGTAATTATCCTTTCGAAAGTATCGACACCTGACATAAAAGTATCGACACTTTTGTATTTGTATCGATTAAATATAAATAACATATCCGATGAAAATATAAGCTAAATATCCTCTGAAAATAGATAGAACGGACGAGTTTTTGAAATCGAAGAGTAATTGTTGCTGCATTTCAGAAGGCGTTTCTAAAGCGAAGTTTGTTTGTTTGTTGCTGCAGTCGAATCGAAAAGTATGTTGTCGAAACCCTAATTTTTTATTATTACAGTAATCGCGATAGGGTTTTTATGTGTTGTTTGGGGTTTTGGAGTAAGGAAGCATTTGGGACCGATTGCAGGTAGAAATAGATATTCAAGGAAAAATATAAATGTCGATACTTTTATTAAATATTATAGGTAGAAAATGATATTATAGGTTGTATAAATGTGCCGACACATTTTGGTGTGGCCATTCAAATTCTTTTGAAGAAAACCGTTTTACCACAAGAGTAGTTATCTATATTTGTATATTGAAAAGTGTATGTAACAAAATAATTTGATTTGCGTAAACTGATATATGAAGGAAAAATGGAGTCAATGGGTTGGAAAATTGTTGGTGGAGCAGATGACTTTGAAATTGAGGCCGAGACTCGAAAGCAACCAAAGGGTGGATATATGTACTTCTAGTAAGTATCAATGTCTTTTTGTTATTATTGTTGAAATGGTAATTGGATTAAAGTATCGATAAACTTTAAATTGATTACAAATTTTAAATGTTAACAGTATGGCCGAATGCAAAAGGATGAAGGGAGATGGCACACAGAGCGGTTCGGTATGTAAAATGAAATTGACATTGAGTAGTATTAGTATTTAGTGTTAATGTATTGATTAAGAAACGTTTATGTTTAATATTAGGTGAAAAAGATGTGAGGTCCAAATGGAATTCAATGAGTGATGCTGAAAAGGAACCTTACATCACACAGTCAAGGAATGATAGTAAAGAATACAAAGAACGGAGGAAAGCACATGAAAATAAGGTATTCATTAAACTTGTAAATACGTTGATACAAAATATATAAGAACTATAACATTATATATTGTTAAAAAATGTAGGAAGTGTCGACAAGATGCAGCATTAAAAGGGTGAATTTATTAATTAAACACCTTAAGGAGAAGGGTCAGTTGAATGTGCTGGGAGAAATAGGTTTTGGATCGTTGATCGGAGTAAGGGATCGACCTATTCGGAGGGAATTGTGTCGATCCTTGATGGCACAATTTGACGTCAGTCAATGTATGGCTAAGTATGGTGATTATTCATTCCCTCTGGGGGTATCGACTGCTGCAGCCGTATTGGGGGTACAAAACAAAGGCAAAAGTGTTATAGAAGTCTGTAGGAGTAAGAACTGGAAAGCACTTGCCTCCAAATATGGTTTGAATCATAAGGTGACATATACTGAAGTTGAAGAGGATATCAAAAGTGGATATTACTTGGGGGATGAGCTGAAGGCCCGAGTTCTATTGTACCTTGTCGGTATATTTCTTTGTCCAACGGGTGATACGTCAACGAACAAGGAATATATGAAGCTCATTTGCGATGAAGGCTTGAAGGGTGAATTCAATTGGGCTGAATATATCCATTCGAGATTGATTGAATCAATTATCACCTTTAAAAAGGGCAGCCAGAGATACCTCAAAGGGTGCATAGCAATCTTAGAGGTAAATGAGTTGAATCAGTTTTTTGTGTTTTTATATAAAAATTCTAATTTTATTATAAATGCAGGTTGCACTGTTCGATTTTTGGTCGGGCTGTGAGGCAGTGCCGGCTTATGAAAGAACCGGAGTGGCACGCATCCGTGCATGGGGGAAGGAAGAGGTGGTTAGAGTGATGGTGAAGTTGAAGTTGGATAGAGGGAAGAAGCAAGAAATGGTAATAAATGTAATTAAATAATATTAAGAATATAATCAATGTCTTAATATTGTAATTTAATTTTTTGAAGGTTATTGGCAAGGATGTAGAGGAGGCAGTGGAGGCAGAGGAGAAGAAAGGAGGGATGGTTGTATTGGGGATGAAGGTGAGTGGGACGACGGTGAAGCAAAACAGAGTAACTTCGACATTTTGATGTCTGAATTGGCTGATATCAAAAAAATCCAATTTGAAATCATGCAAAGACAATCAAGAGTCGAAGAGAAACTTGATCAAGTCGTAGAGAAACTCGAGAGGCATAAGGGGGTAGTGGAAGGAAAAATAGATGGAGTGGTGAAAGAAGTAGAGGTGTTGAGGGGTGAAGTGGTGAAAGAAGTTTCGGTGTTAAGGGGTGATATTAAGATGGTGACGGGAGAAAAATTTGAGGGAGTGGTGAAGGAGGTTGTTGATTTGAGGAGTGAACTTACGGGGGTGAAGGGGGTGGTTGATAAATACTCGGATGAAGGAGCTCAATTGAAGGGTGAAATAAAAGATATGAAGAGCTATGTAGAAAAAAAGTACGATGAACTGAAAAAATATGAAGAAGAAAAGAGGGAGGAGGAAGAAGAAGAGATGGAAGAAATGAGGAGGAAGGAAGTCGATGTCATTTATACACCGGAGAGTGTTATAGCAGCAGTTTTGGATTCGGAATGTCCTGCACCCCAGAAGAAGAAGCAGAAGGTAAGTTTAATAAAAGAATACTTAATTTGATTTTTATTATGTTGTTGTGACAAAAATTTGTATGCAAAATTGTAGGTTGAAAAAGCGGACATTCCAACCGGAATTGATGACATCGAAGCTGCAATTTGTGATTATTTATGGAATAGCGAGTTAGAATCGGGGTAAGTGAAATATATTGTTTTGTGAGTGATATTTAAATATTTCATGACAAGATATTAATCCTAATGATTCATACAGATATTCTGTAATATCAATGGGAAATCAATTCGCTACTGTATACGACGTTGCAACGTTGAAGCCTACGGAATGGGTTGGCGGTGTGGTAAGTAGAAAGTAGAAAATAAATAAAACTTATTGAATATGTTCTGATTGTGTAATTAATTTTGTTAGGTTATCGATTTGCTCGCCTGGACCATATGCTACGATTCTCAAAAGTCACACCGGAGGATTGGCTACCTTCCATACCTCTTAGTGGTGAGTTAAATTAATAAATATTGAAAAGTAGTGTTATAGACGGTAAATTAATAATGTTTGTTGCGTAATTACAGCAACAGGCGTTGGAAGGCAACAACAAAGAAAGTGTTGAGGGTATTTCTACCTTCTGGGGTGTCATATTGGATAACTATGTGAAATTCACCGACTGTGAGAAGGTAAGACACCATACCAATTGCAAATGATGTTTTCGGATATAGAATGTTGAATTTTGTCAAATTGGGTGTGAAATTTGTTGCAGATAATGATCACAATAAACTACCATAATTCACATTGGTATCTGTTGGTGTTGGATATGGTAGATCATGTTGTAACAATATATGATAGTATGTTTACAACTGAAGCAGCTAAACAGAGAGTGAAGGATGCTAAGAGATTGGTATGTATGTATGTATGAAAGGACATTATGTAAATTATAATGCATAATTTTTTGGTGCATAACTTCTTCTATTTTAATGCAGATTAAAATATTAGATTCTTATAATAAGAAACGCATTTGGGTTGAGTCATGTGGATCTCTAGGAAAGTATCCCTTGAAAAATTTCAAATTTGTGGAGCATAAGAAGAATAAGCAATTGAATGGGTATGAGATGTTATCACAATTAGAAAGCTTAATTTATGCAGTATTCATCATATTGACATGTGTGGTTTTCAAATTTTGTAACAGATATGATTGCGGCATGTATGTGATGATGTGGATGGAATCGATCGGTTCTACAGGGGCAACTGGTGATTTTGTAAGTGGATAGAAAAAATTGTTTGTGGTAAAATTGTTAAAAGTCGTAG